AACCGCCGCCACGTGCTCGCGTGCCTCCCAGGGTAGCCGCTTGCCGCCACGTGAAGAATCGAGAGTCAGCTGTGCGGAGCTAGGCATGACGGCGCTGTCCAGCTGCGCCGGCGGCGGTGCCTCCGACACGGACGATGGCAGCTGTGCAACCAGCTCCGCTGCCGCTGCGCCGCTGCTGCGGCCGCCGCCATCAACCTTGTCCTGCGGATTTACCACATGCCTTGGCGGCGGCACCTTGCCGCCAGGGGCAGAAGGAAAGGCGGCGGATACGGCGGAGATGAACGCGGCAGTGTTGACGATGCCGCAAGACTTGGCGGAGGTTCTGGTGGATAGAGTACGGAAGGATGTACGACCTGCGTCGCCGGGTCGCGGCGGCAGCTGCTTTGACTTCGGATGGATGATTGTACGGAACGCGGTGCTGGGTCGGCTAGCAGCCTCCGCTGCCGCCGCCGCTGCTGCCGCCTCCGCCGCCACCCGCGACGGTATCGGCGCCGCCGTGCCGTCGGGCCACGGCCGCGATGACCTAGGTCGTACGTACTGCCGTGACATCGGCGCCGGCAGCGGCGCCGCCGACACCGGCCGGGGCGGCTGCGCGGGCCCGTTGAGCCACTTGCGTTGCTGTCGTACCATCTGGGCATAGTGGGCGTCGCTGACGCCGGCAGGACGCGGCGGCGGCGCGAAGCTGTTGCTCGCAGCGATGGCGGAATGGTGGCGGCGGCGCGGCGGCCGAGTGCCGTACGCAGCACCGCCGCCCGCGGGCAGGTCAGGGTCCTCGCCGTAGTCTTCGTACACGTACGGATCGGAACCCGCTATTGGCTCTGATTGCCTGTTTAGGATGAGATGAGGGCCGCACGAGGCCGCGTGTGCCGTGAAGTCGTGTGAGCTTTAATGATCCGACGTCCGAGCGAGCAATGACGATGGCCGTACACACATTACGTGTGTACGCACGTGGCCGTACAATCCAGCTCTCAAGCCAAGAGCAACGTAAACAGACTGTCCGACGCAGTCCGAGCAAAAGTAACAGACATGCACATGCACGACACAACCGATGCCGTACCTCAACACGTGATCCTGTGCCGAAAATCGTCTCGTGGCGCCGCATCCCCTGCCGGTGCCGTACAACGACTCCGATCCTGACCGCGCCGCCGACGCACATCTAGATCCCCGCGGCGAGCTCCCTGCCGTACCACCACCACCACCGCCGCCGCCGCTGCCGCCGCCGCTGCCGCTACCGCCGCCAACAACACCACCGCTCGGGTGCCAGTCCAGAAACCGAGGCAAAACCGGCGATGTACTGCGGTTTACTTGCCGTACACCTAGCGTGTCGTACCACGGCCCGCGGGGTGCGTTTCGTGCCTGTCGCTCTTGCTCCTCCGCCGCTTGCCGCGCTTCCTCCTCCGCGCGCCGCATCGCTTGCATCGCCAACGTGGCCTCATCTGCCGCCAGCTGCCGCCTCTGCGCCTGCAGATCACATCACATCACATCACAACCTGACAGTGAACGGGACCAGACAGACAGACAGACAGACAGCCCTGCAACCCCCCTGTCCCGCCTCACCTCGGCCGCGGAGATGTGAAAGATATCGGGCCGAGCCACCCGCTGGAGCAGCAAGGTATGACGGTCGAAGTCCACGGCCATTGAGTAGCTGCGTGCCACAAACTTCTCAAGATCCGCTGCGTCCTGTACGAGCATGTACGAGCATGTACGAGCAGAATTGAAGTAATATCAATAACATTTTTTCCTCAGTTTCCCATTGCGTAATAATCTCTAGAACAGTATTTGACTTCTCCACCTTTCCTCATTCTAAGAACCCTCCGTGTCGTTGATCCTACCTTAGGGGGCCCTATGCGGGCCCACTCTTGCGGCGTCAGATCGTTAGCGGACAAAAGCCGCTGTCGCGCCAATCGGGCCTTACGCTCCTCCTCCGTCTCCGCCGCCGCCGTCGGCCCTACAGCCTCCAGCGGTGGCGACGACATCGACGGCATCGATCCAAATCCAGTTGCCGTCGGCGTCCCCCACCTGGATCCAGATCCATTTCCGGATCCAAATCCCGTACCGCCGCCCCCCTGGCTCCTATGAAACCCGCCAAAAACGCTGCCGCTGCCGCTGCCGTCCCCGCCGCCGCCGGCGGGGCTATAAAGCCCACCGGATTGCGACCCGCGGGTCTGTCCCGTCGTCACGACAGGCGACACTGCCCGAGGAGGGGAGGAGGTCGGCGAAGAAGAGAGGCGCTGTAGTAGCGGCGGCGGCGAGGCGGCGCCGCCGCTGCCGCCCGTACGAGACTCCGGACGCCGGACGAGATGTACGGGCGATGACCCGCCATCCGTGGCGGTACTGCCTCGCCCGTGTGGCTGGTGGTTATGGTGGTTGAAGTAACCGTTCTGGCGGTTATCTGTTGGGTATGTGAGAATTGACTCCGACAGGTTCGGCGGAGTGGTAGCAGCGTCGAAGGCCTGCGCGGAGAAGATGAGGAAGGAGGGGAAGACGAACCACGTGAACGAGTGAAGCTGATGCGAAGGAAAGATTGATGCACCAGTAGTGGATGGATGGGGGGGGGTTTGAGACGCGAAGGTGTTAGGAAAGTGTAAAGTGGGATTGGGAGGAGTGGCGAAGAGGGGGGGAGGGCGAAGATATATACACACACACACACGCATAGGACCGGATATTTTCAGTTGAGCGCTCCAAGTCCCAAAACGCTATTAACCCGATACTACAATTCCGTACACGTGTACGACATGCCACACCTGACCGAGCTCCTCCTCGTTGGGTGTCCATCGCCATGGATCCAACGTGAAGCCAGAGGGAAGCCGTACACGCCCGCCAGATTTGGGACCAGATCCCGGTTCTAAGGGATATTGGTACATCATCTGCTGCTCGTCCAAAGGGGCCGTAGGGGCTGTGGAGGCCGGCGGCTGATACTCCTGGGAAGGTACGGCATCGGTGGTGGCGGCAGCGGCACCAGCAGGGCTAGTGGGGCTGACGGGGTCCTGGGTCCAGAGGTTTGACTCCAGGGGCGGAGATGGGGATGGGGATGGCGGTGGCGGTGCACCTGCCGGCCCCATGCTGGTCGGCAGGGAGGCGAGCAGATGCGCGTTGAAGCTGGGCATCGAGATGGGATGCACGGGTGTACGGCGGCGTGGCGGTTGAGGGCGTTGGAGAGGTTCCGGAGCTGGGTGGAGAGGCGGTGGAGGTGGAAGGTCGGTTTTATTGTAGAACGGCAAGTGCTCTAGGCCGGAGAAGACCGCGTCCTTGTCGTGCGCGAGGAGATGACTCCTGCGTGGGTTGGAAAACCAGGCAGCAGGTGCTAGCGTGAAAGGCTTTAAAAATAGTATGGAGATAGGTGTGCGAGAAGAGGTAATGTAAGCGGATAGAGGGAAAGCTCCGGCGTTACTGTTTGCACTTTGATGCTATGCATAGCACCCCGGAAGGTAGGATCAAACAATGAAAATCCAATATACAACAGTCGAATTGAAAGGAAAAATCGCCTGCTGCTCCACGTCTGTGCCAGCGGCTCCGGGTGCGCGTCCCTAACGGGCACAACCGAGATGGGGTGCGGCTCACTTACAGGGACTGAAGTCCACTTGGCACACCCAGCGTCCCATCATAATGCTCTTTGATTCGGCGTGCATTTGCACGAGCCCGGAGCGCTTCCTCCACCTCAGAAACATCTGGCCCGGCTGATGCCATGATAACGTAAAAATGTATGCATGAAATGAAGCACGTCTGTGGAAAATTTTATTTTAACAGGTATGAGATATCATGTCATCAGAAGCGGAAAGGTATTTTTGTGGAATGCTCGTCGCTGCTGCGACTTAGACGATGGACGAGCGATTTCAGCTCAAGACATCCAACTCTAGGGTATAGAAAAAATGAGGCGCAATCATAACCAGCCCTGCTGATATCGTTCCTAGTACCGTACCCTAGGTAACCCCAACCAGTCTGCAAACAGGAATGCGTCCCAGAGGCGCATGGAAGGATAGCCACCACAACTTATAGAAGCTCTGCCCTTTACGAAATAGGAAATTTCAGGTCATTATACCTGCCTCCTGACGACCTAAGGGCTTTGGCACAGAGCTTGTGAGAGCATAGTTTGACAGACGGCGCTGTGCTCCCTCCCACAGAGCCGATAGTCTTCTGCTCGCAGCTTTTTCCCTGTTTCTAGGGGCTCTTGGAACCAATAAAAGCGTGTTTTTACTCCAACTCCCAGGACCTCAGTCCTGCTTCTAGCATGGCGAATAGCGTTCAGCACCCTTGCCAGGAACATACTGCACACGCGCATGGTTTGAAACAATCCTTCACGGACGTTACCAATTAATTCTTTGCGCCTCTGCCCCTCCACCCACGTGGTCGATGGGGATGCGTCGCACCAACACGTCCCAGCAGCCGGCACCTTCCTCTTTCACACCACCCTGCAAACAATCTCCTCCAACCCCCAAGCCGACCGAGCGTTTGTTCAGCTAATCACCTCCTCGAGCACGACGTGGGAGTTGTGAGCCATCTCATCTCTGGCAAAAGGAGGCTTTCACCTCTCATAACACGCAATACCTTGCGACACGCAACTAGCAACAGCAGCAGTGGCGGACTGTCACTCCTTGCAGCATAGCGCCACACGAACATGCTCCTGATCCATCCAAGACAAGCCTTAATACTGCCATTGCTGCCGGAACTGCTGCCAGCGGGAGAGAACAGCAACAGAACTTTCAAGCAAGTCAAAACCGTTGTCGTATGGCCGAGGGGACGTACGACGTCGCACACTTCTCCACCATGGCAGCGCCTCCGAAGCCAGCTGGGCGGCGGAAGGCTTCCCCAATCCGTCCCCAGCGGCTCTGCGGTCTTCCTAGACACCGGTCTTCATACGGTGGCCGTGAAGCCACTGCCCCCGCCCTCCCTGGAATTCTCAACATACAGGAGCCGCCATTCCATCCGGCCACGGCCAATCTGTAACCCCACCTCTTTCTCCCCTCAATGCTGCTCGCTCCCCCGAGAAAGCTGCAGCTGCTACTGCTGCTATTGCTACGACTACTGCTACGGAAATAAAACCGCGGACAACACAATATGACTCCCCAACTCTGATGTGAACGAAGGAGGGGATGTAAGGGGGAGGCGTGTAAGGTCAGGGGTGTAAGATAGACACGGGCATTCCAGCAGTACACCAGCTGTCGTACAATGAACACTACCAAACGCGAGGGTCATTGCATGTCAAAAAACGAATATATATAAAACAAATCACGCCGTTGGCTTTTAGCAATCTTTTCCATCAGTCCACCTGCCTGTGTGTGTCTCTCTGCCACTCGCACCTGTCCAGGAGGCCGCAATTCATAGAAGCCGCAAACGTCAGCACGCGCATTCGACATTCGGGCTTCAGGCTTTATTAATGCCGTATCAGCTTGAGATTATTTAGATCAGAAACAGGGCCGCCGCACTGTTCCAGCTCTCCTCCTCTAGGATTCCGAGCCGCGCCTCAACGCCCCCCCACGGGGACCTCCTCTGAGCGACTTTAGGGCCCCGTACATGGGGTCCAAAACACGAACACAAAGCACGAACGCGAGGATTCAGATGAAGATGAGGTTCCCCCGCTTTCAGGACCCATTTCTACCCCTTCCCATGGGACCCATGCCCATGCCCATTTTTGGTACCAGCAACAATCGTCTGTGGTTCGTCTTCCCCGCCCATATGGCCCATGCAACCCAGCGAGCGAGATAGAAGGACCAGACTCAGCTCCACCCCCCCCTTCCGACACATGGGTTGTAAGTAGCAGCTCGTCGCCATTGCCGCTCCGGACCACCTACCTCTCCATGCACACGGAGTGGAGCGCTGTAGATCTTTTCGTGGCCCTTCTTCTTCTCTTCGCGGCCCTCCTACTTTCTGAAGAACAACCTCTGGGGCCGCGGCCACCTTACTAATCGCGCCACCGCCATGCCTTTCCCCACATCGCCATGCCACGTAATTCAAATCATATGCACATCTTCATAGACAAAAGACAACAATTTTGGACGCAAATCGGACACCCGCGCCATCGCGCCGTCAGTTCGGTGCCGGTAGTGGGCCGGGGTACGAGTCCCGCTCAGAGCAGGTCGGTTGGGAAGGAGTCCGGTACAATGAAGCCCGGCTGTTGCACCTGCAAAGCGGAGAAAGGGTAGGCGTAGGTCAGGAGTAAGTCTGGGAAAGTGGGCGGTGGGAGGAGTTGGAGGGAACTGAACGGAAGCAGGTGGCTATAACCAGGTAATTTAGGAGCACTGCGTAACACATATAAGGATTATAAATAAATAAATAAATAAATAAATAGGTAAATAAATAAATAAATAAATAAATAGAGCCAATTCAAACCGGACCATGCGATCTAAATATCCCCGGACAGTGTCCTCCCTCGCAACCGTCAACATTGGCGGCCGCCTCCACCACCTGCATCATGGCATACGCCAGCTCGATGGGAAAGGGCACCAGCACCAGCAACGAGAACCCCAAGAGCGCCAGCGCCGCCTTGCGGTTGAACTCGTTCTTGGGCACGGAGAGCTCCTCGCAGCAGGGGCTTATGGGGCCGCGTTGCAGAAACAGAAGCAGCAGCACCTGTATGTATATGCCACAAACGAAGCCACACACGTAGGACGAGAGAGCCACACACCTTGGCAAACTTGGGGGAGAACTTGGGGGACGGTTCGTAGAGACGTAGGACGACAGAGAGACAAGAGGGAGAAAGAGATCACGATGTGCGCAGAGAATGGGGCTGACATCCCTTCAAGCACGGTTAGGTGTCGTGCGGTGGAAGCTCTCCCCCTCTTCCCCTTCCCCCCCGCCCGACGCGGGAAGCTTGGATCAGCTCGTACTCTATGAGTCAGCAATACGAGGAATAAGCCAAGGTAAACACTGCGCACGCCTTGCAGTTCTTCCTGCGGGGCAGCAGTATCTATCAGACGACGCACACACAGTCATATGACACAGCAGTATCAAAACCACCTCTCTCTCCCAACCCCCCAAAACACCTTCCCCACCACCACCACCATCTCAACCCCACCCAGCACCCCTACCTACCTCACCTCACCTCACCTCACCTCACCTCCCACTCACTCACTCACCCAGTAAAATGACAGTGCGTTTCCTGTTATTGCAGAAAACCCCAGAGCTCCTGTCGTAAACACCGATACGGCAGAGGCTGTACGGCGGCCCCAGCAGCCCAACACCATCTTGGCGCCGTCCAGTTCCCCGGCGGGAATAAGGTTTAGGGCGTTCGCGATGAGTCCTGCCCAGCCCGCCAGGACAAGGAAATTAACCTGTGCGGGGTTTGAGAGAGATTGAGAGGAGTATTCCATGGCGGCTATGAAAGGGGCGGGAAAATGCGGGAGAAACCACCTGCAACAAACAACCAAAAAAACAACGGAATAACTGCCACAGAGCGGGAGTGGTTGGGAACAAAAATATATTATCCCGGAATTTAAAACAAAAAATCCTAAGAAGTTCTTTGCACCGGTCTACGGCCTTTGACACGGTGACGCGTCGACCTTTGGAATGCTCCCACAGGCGAGTTCGACGAAACCGGCGCTACATTCAACCTCCTCCTTCCTCCCCGCTTTTACAAATCCTCCTCTCACTTCGCCCCCTCCTCCTATTTTCCCTCCTCCTCCCATTGCCTCTCCTCCCTCCTCCCTCCCATTTCCCCTCCTCCTCCTCCTCCTCCTCCTCCTTTTCCCCTCTTCTTCCTCCCCCCTTTTCCCGCCTCCTCCTCTTCCCCCCTCACCTCAGTCACGGGTTGTGCCAGTCCCTCCGGCCCCACGAACAGCCCCGCCAAGAGCGCCACCAAAGTACTGTCAGCCAGGGCGGCGGTGTCGACACCTGGAGGGGGAAGAGGCAGTGAGAGCGGGGGATAGTGCACCGCGGGACGGAAAAGAGGGGGAGGAGGGAAAGACGAACTACGAACGAGTGAAGCTGCTGCCAGGGCAAGAGTGTACCAGACGTAGAACTGACCAAAAGGCGTTCTTGAAGGCGGCGACCTCGGGATGACGTAGTGAAGAAGATGTCGGAAAACTACCTACCTAGCCGCCAAGCTAAAATAAGCGCAGAAGAAAAGCAGTAATGCCAAGCCGTAAAGAAGTAAAGGTAGGTGTAGAGGCGGCGGAAAAGTAAGTCGAAGGAGGGCGGAGAGGGGCTTCACATGCACAAGGTAAAGGACCAACTCCAGCCGTCCATGGGAGAGAGGGCGGGAGTGGGAAGGAAGGAGGGAGAGTGGGAGGAAAGGACAAAGGAGGGGGCGGAAGACAAACCACCACGAACGAGTGAAGCTAATGCCAAGGAGGATAGACCGATACGCCAGGGAGGGAGGGAGGGAGGGAGGGAGGGAGGGAGAGCGGGAGGGGCTGAAGCAATAAAGGAAGAACCGCCAGTTCGGACGTGACCCCACGAAGAGGATGCCGACTGGATCCGGGGACAAGAACACCAACAAAATACTGAAAGGCCAGGCAGAGGCAGGCAGGCAGGCAGGAAGGCAGGCAGATACCGGAAGCCACACGGGGGGCCATAGCACACGCCCACGCCCCGCCCAACGCAGCACAAACCAGATTCGTTTCCGCCCTTCCTTGGAACAGACCCACGGGTCAGAAGACCTGATGACCTCCACGGATCGGAAGCTCGAACCCTCCCCCCCGCACACACACACACTTCAGCCCCAGCGGGCCCCCTCCTCCCCCCCCGGGGACACTCACCCACTGTGCCGATACCCGCCGCAGCACGAGTGAGCACGAGCCCTAGCAGCAGCATGGCGCCGGACACCGCGCTGCCCAGCAGAGGCCCCGACACGGCCAGGTCCAGAAGGGCCTCACGGCTCGGTACGAAATTCCGTACCTGCGCCCAAGGGGGGGGGGGAAAGACGAACCACGAAGGAGTGAAGGTGCTGCCCGGGGTGGTGGTGGGGATTATTTTGCACATTATATATATTACATGTTATTATATGTTGCAGGACGTGATGAGAGTCGACTGCCGACGTCCCAAGCACCCGAACTGCAATTAGGAGTCCTGTGGATATGACTAATGGGGTCGGCACCGCAGGCGGGGAAAGACGAACCACGTGAACGAGTGAAGCTGCTGCCAGGGCAAGAGTGTATCTGACGTAGAACTGACCAAAAGGCGTTCTTGAAGGTGGCGACCGCAGGGGGTGGTGGTGAGGGGGTTGGGCAGCCAGGGAGGAGAGGAAAGAAAATCACACTATCGCACTACCGCTCTCACCCGGGTGATGCTTCCAAAGCTGCCCAACAGTCCGAAGCCTGCTGGCAGGTAGAAGGGCAGGTACAGCTCCAGGCCATGTCGTCGAGCGGCCTGGTAGTGCCCGAAGTCGTGAGAGCCTGCGCGGTTGAAAGGATGGGCGGATGGGGGTAAGACGAACCACGAGCGGATAGGGGAAGGGGGGAAAAGACGGACCACGAGCGAGTGAAGGTAATGCCAAGGAAAGAGTGTACAAGAAGCAGAACTGACCAGTAGGCGTTCTTGAAGGAGGGGGGAGGGGGGAAAGACGAACCACGAACGAGGGAAAGGGAGGAGAGGAGGGGGAAAGATGGTTGGGTGGGTGGGCGGATAAGAGGGGGCGGGTGGACGGGTGGGTATGTGTGTGTGCGTGGGTGGATGGGTATGTGTGGGAGTGGGTAAGAGCTGTTAGGAGTGGGCAGGAGTGGGCGAGGGTGGATTAGCCAGCTATTAGTGGAACCGTATGACGTAGCAAGCAAAGGCTCAAACCCGGCAGCACGTCCAGCCAGAACTGCCCAACTGCCGTACGAGTCAAAGCGATCATGCAACTGCTTCAACTAACTCCTCGGACATACAGACAGACACGCCCACAACCTCACACGCCCTTTCTCACCCAGCGCGAAGAAGAAGGCCAAAACTCCAGGGAGAGCATCCACGAAGTCCTATCGATATCGGACAAAATTGAAAAAATTTTGAGGATGTGGTGACGATATCGTACAGCAAGACGTACTACGTCAACCAAATGTACGTCGGCACATGCCGTGCCCAGGTAGGGGGCAACCGGAGATGCATCATATGGCTGTATTACTACTTGACGTACTGCCGCTCCTTAACATCAACACACTCATAAATAGGGTTGTTCCTGACATTAGAATGTTTTCCGTTCTAATCTAATTCTAATATTAGTTCTAATTAGAAATTAGGATCTAATAATAGAAGACGCTCGACAACTTTTCAGGGAGGGGTCCGTTGAACCTGAAATTTTGTATAGGCCATCACAGATGTAACCGCACGCATTTCCAATTAAATTTACTCCGGTCGGGTGCCTGGGGAGGGTACCTACCAGCCAAACCCACGCCAGACTTGCTACGGAAACAACCAAGAACGCCGCCAAACCTGTCCTTTTAAGTCCCTACTTGCACAGAATCACCACATAACTGCCGGGGGAGTGTTTGCTCGCTAAGGGGAATGCAAAAACACAGAGAGGAAGGGCTAATCTGGTGTCCAATAAGCTGCAAGACCCTTCTTCTTTGCGGAGGTCAGAGCTTCTGCATACGCTTTTGCATCAAGTTCCTTGTTGCCATACTTGTACATTGGCCCTGATGCTTCCGCCTTCCCGGGAGGAAGGGGTGGCTTTGATGGCCCCGCACCTCTATCTGACATTTTCGTGTAAAATGCACGCAGTAGAACCGCTGATGCGCCTTAAAGCTACGGCTTTCCGGCCGTTCTAATGTCCGTACGACATTAGGATGTTCTAATACGTTCTAAACGGGGTCTTCTAAAATTCTTATTAGATTCTAATTATATTTTTTCTAATATTAGTTCTAATGTTCTAATGCCGGCACAACCCTACTCATAAAACACTGCATTTTCCCCTCTGTTACGGACTCGCCTTCAACAGGCCCAAGTTAGGAAGACGCCCTCCTATATCCACACCCCCACACTTCAAAATACATACACATTGACGTGTATAATATATATATGTACATATTTATACATATATACATATATACTATATCTACATATATATTTTACATGCATGTTGCCTGTTTTGGACTCCGAGCGGACGGCAGCGCCTATAGGGTCATATGAAGGTGATTGTCATCATAGTCACAGGCGGCCGCGTGGCCGCTTTGAAAAAAACACACGCAGCGTTTCCAGGCATCATGCGACATCTTCTCCCCCCCCGCGCTCCCTTCTCCCGCGCGGCCCAGCCCCTTGGGGGCAACACCAACACCACCGCACCTGCTGTGTGATGGCGGTCGAGAAGGGCGCGATGAAGAACTCCAGGAGGGGCGCCCCCGCGGCGTTGAAGCTCGTCACCGTGGTGGCAAGGGCGAACAACGAAGCCAGCCAAATCTGCACACAAAGAATGAGAACTTTAAGATACACGTACGTCTGCATGTCTGTCTGTCTGCATGTCTGTCTGCATGTCTGTCTGCATGTCTGTCTGCATGTCTGTCTGTACGGATGAATGGATGGATGGGTAGATGGACAAAAGCTGGAGAGCGAAATGGAGACACCGCACGTGTGTGCCGGCGGAACGGGACCCATCCATCCACCATAATGATGATGATGATGATGATGATGATGTTGCTGCGTCTAAACGGAAGCCCAGCCCTGGTTCCCAGAGGTAGGGAGGGAGACGAAAGGAACAACGAGAACGCACCACCACGGCAGCTACCGCCCAGCCACTAAAGGACACCACCCAACCAAGTATCCCATGTCGTACCTCCGTAAATCGGCTGATTTGGGTGTCCAAGCCGCGGCCCTGAAGGTACACATACATACAAACATACGTGTGCATGTGCGATGACCCCGCAACGGAAAGCGGGGGACCCGGCAGCGGTTATGGTGTGGTTATAATTAGTTAGGGCAGTTAGGATGGTAATACGACGACGGCGACGGGTCGGCGCGCCGCGTTGTACGACCAGCAAGGGCGGCGGTGAAACACAGGAGTAAATGTGCGAGTAAATACGGCGCAAGGTGTCAGCGTCAACTGGGTCGTCCGCATTAGGCGCTGTTACGTGGCCATAGCAGGGCCGCGAATACCCCCCCCAGAGGCACTGAAACTTAGGGCAACTACCTGTGAGAGTGCGTGAGAATGTGTCTCCAAAGATGGCCCTTCCCCTCCCCCTTCCCCTCCCCCTTCCCCTCCCCCTTCCCCTCCCCTTTCCCCTCCCCTTTCCCCTTCCATTTCCCTCCCCTTTCCTTCCCCTCCCCTCCCCTTTTTCCCCTTCCCCTTCCCCTTCCGCAAAGAAGAAGCCCCACTACTTCATTGCAGACCAACAGACTGTTCACGACGCGCTGAAAGCCTCCGGAAAAGAAATCTGTGGAGCACCCGCCCAACCGCCACTGAGCTCCCAACTCCCAGCAACCGCCTCTCAAAGCCCCAAACTCCAAACTCCCAACTCGCACCTGCGGCAGTACGACTACAGTGGGTTTCTCGTCCTTGTCCTCCAAGAGAAAAAGCTGATACGCCCCGGAGAAAGCCGCCTGCGGACCGGTTTGGGGCCTTTTTTAAAACACAAACTGTTTATTAAACAAAACCTGTTTATTAAAGAAAACATGTTTATTAAACATAAACTGATAAAGAATTACAAACAAAGGATCAGGGCTCTAAGCGGAGTAGCAGTAGGGACTAGGAGGAAATGAAAACAGGGAAAATAGACAGAGGGAAATGAAGTCGACCCAAACATCATAGGGCCCTTCCCATAAGCTGGCGAAGACGATACGAGGCTTTGGGCTAGAGACGAAGCTGAGGGCCCTTCCATAACCCAAACACAAAATCGCCGTACTGTCGTATTCCGTACTGGCGCACATAGCGGTGAGGGAGGAGGAAGAAATATATATGCAAGAACCCAAGGGTCATGACTGCCAATGTGATGAACCGCCGTAAAACCGCTCATGCGGGCAAGTGGCCTGGCGCGGTGTGTATGTACATATGTACATATGTACGTATGTATGTGCACTTGGAGAAAAAAATGAAACCCCCAGATTCGGTGCGGTGTGCAGAAAACAACGCATAATTTGCAAGGTAAAAAAGAAACACATATATAAAAACAACAGGGTTCGGGGGTTGGGGGGAAAAGAAAGCCCCATGCCAATGCGGTTTTACCTGCAGTCTATCCCGCATTTTCTGGTACGACACTGCCGGATCGCGGCCGCGGACGTTGCCCTTGAAAACGACGCCGTCGTGACCGTAGTTGTCCACCGACGTTACCCAGAACGTGTCAAACCCAAACACGGACGTCTTGAGCTTGTCAATCACGTCCTGTACGGCAAAGGACGATAGCGATAACGAGAATGATGCTGACGTGGAGGTGGAGATGAGGAGTGTGATGGGGTGGAGGTGGGTGTTGAAGAAGGCGTTAAGGGGTCAAGGAGGCGGCCAGCGCGGCCAGGGGGTTCCCCTCCACCCCAAGGTGCAGTTGCGCGGGCCGTCCCAGTCCGCTCGCTTTCCTTCTTTGGCCTGACCGCTTTCCCGACCCGTCTCTTTTCCCCCACCACCCTTCCCGGTTAGCCTCCTCCCCCTCCCCCGTATGCCTTCTTTTACTTACTTCTAGCGCATCAGTCTTTCCTTGGCATCACCTTCACTCGCTCGTGGCTCGTCTGTTCCCCCGTTACCCCCCCCCTTTCCCCCCGGTTGGTGTTTCGGTCGTGTTAGGATCATCAGGACGATTGACCCTTTACATGCCTTCTTGAGTGTAAATGAACCCCCAACACACACATACAGACACACACGCACGCGCACACACACATGCATACACTCCGGGCCCCCCCCCACCTTGGGCATCTTGACGCCGACCTCGTCGTCCACGCGGAACTGAAGCTCTTCCAAAGTCCCCCGAGGACCTCCGCCAGAAGACTCCCCGCTCCCGTTCCCGTTCCCGTTCCCGCTGCCCCTCGCTGCCCCTCCCGCAGTGCCCACAGTGCTCGGAGGAGAAGAAGGAGGAGCAGCAGCCTTGTCGGGTACTGCCTCCTGCTGCTGCGGGGACGTGGGTGTTGGCGTGGGCGTGGGGGGGAGAGGGGGGTTATGTCTGGGACGGCGTGGGGGGTGGGAGAGCTATGCGGCATGTGTGTGTGTGTGTGCGTGTGTGTGCGCGCAGGAGGGAGAGAGAGGGGCGCCGCTCGGAAAAGGGAGGGAACCGTACCATGCAAGAAGCCAACGGTCAAAACTGTCGAAAAAAGAGGGAAGGGTGTGTGGGGGGAGGGAGGGGGGAAGACGAACCACGAACGAGTGAAGCTGCTGCCAGGGCAAGAAGGGGGGAAGGGGGAAGAAGGGGGGAGTTGGGTGGTCAGCAGATCGTGCAGCGACCCAGATGGCCTCCGTGCTGGCGCAATATGACCTTCCCCCCCTTAATATTCGTGGTGGGTGAGGGTGAAAGACAGCGACCCAGGTCGACTTCAGGACGGGTTGACCCAGATCGGCTTAAGATATGAAGTGAAGCAGATCAGCTTAGCGCAGGTTTTACCTGGTGCGATAGAAGAACTGTATTATATCACAGCCAAAATATCCGAAACAAATACCCTACGGAAACGCCGACCCAAATCACGACTCATCAGATTTGACCCAGACGCGACTCAGGTCTGATTGAATTGAAAGGTATCGTCACTTGAAAGGTAGGTAACATATAGGGGTGTATGGACGACTATGTCACGTTCTTCCATATTGCAGGTAGTTGGGGGGTTACAGACCCGACCCGATACGAGACGTCCAGTGCTAGGTTCGGACTTTAGCGACCTGAAGGCTCAGAGCTAGGCAGCAAACCAGATGCCGTACCTGCCCCGGCTCCTCGCCAGCTGCAACTACCAACCGCCAGCCAGGCCGGACATGTTTGGCTGTCGGGGACAGTGAATGCCGCTCCCTGGGGGGGTTTTGCTGCTGGAGCCGTAGCGGGACCTCCGCGGCCGAAAATCGCCTGGAGGACGTTTTTTTCAAAAGGGGCGTTTGGGAGGTTACCGGGGCCAAGAAGCCAAAGCGGCAGGGATCTGTGCTTTTCCATGCAAGGAATGGGCAAAGGTATGGGAGCGAGAAAGGACGGAAATGTCGAGGTTGTCAAGAGCGCTCCAAAGCTGAAAATAGAAAGCGGATCGGAGGATGTAAGAGAAGATGCTGAGGAAGCGCGGGGAGGATTTGATGGGGACTAAGGGACAAGGTCCCCTGTGCGTGTGCGTGAAGTAGGGTCAGCGGGTCAGGATGTTGCACTCTTGGACCGACAGCAAGAGTGAGCGTTGTTTGTTGGGGGTAGAGACAATCTGTCCAGGTTTCAAATTGTGATGGTCATTTGGTTGTCCTCAGGTGCTGCGTTGTTAAGGTAACCGCTCTGGAGGGGGGACGCAAATCTCTGCCGCACCTGGTCGCGCACGCCAGGCGAGACGTACCAAGTCTAGGTCGGCAAGTGGTGGATAACTGCATTGCGTTACTTGGCGTTATGTCTAGCTTGAGCATCTTTGCTGCAAAGCGTCACGGAATGCCTGCACAATGTCTCCTACGAAATGATGCACGACTTGATCCACCTCAAGCGATGTATTGCGCTGTAATATATGATAAAAGAGTCATCTCAGAACCATCAACTGTGTGCAGCATGTGGACCGCTGTTATAATGCTAGCCTTGACCAACGCAATGACTCCTACCGGACTCTGTACGAGACTTCAGCAAGGAACGTGAAGCTCCGGTCGCGACATGAATTCTATGTTACAAGTAGGTTCTTGGTTTTAAAAGGGCTACTGTATGATGTCAAGTATGTTGCTGTCGCGTATGAAAGCGTCTTGGCATTAACCGCTGCTTCGCGTGTCTGCAAAAACTGCGAAGGACCGGGGAAGCGCCTGCTTTCAGTTATGGACGCCATGGCTCTTGGTAAGTGCGATTGACAATTCCTTTGTATGGTTACTTTCCCCGTCACGGCGGCCTGTTTCGGCAGCCGCCACGCCTTGAATGGACTGGCCACAGCAACGAGCTTCCCGTACGCTAAAGAACTAATGGGCCCTTAGCGGCACACATACTCAGCCTTCGCCGGTCGTCCTCACTCTTACCACCGCCCCTCCGTTCCCCTGCCCCGCGCACCCCATCCGTGCACATCCATGCCTGCTGCTGTCGATGCTGTCCACCTCCTACCCAACAACGACACCCTGTCTCAACCATTCCAATATCCAAAGGCTCCAAATCTGATTCCAGTTCCGAGCCGGCGTCCAAAACCAAAGGCAAAGGCGAAGCTGGCGTGGACGCAGAGGATGAGCAGCAGCAACAACCCCGGAACGAGCCGCCGCCACCACTTTGCGAGCAATGCGGAGCAGCCCCCTCCAAGTACCGCTGCCCGGGCTGTCAGCGTCGCAGCTGTAGCTTGGAATGCGTACGGGCGCATAAAGCAGCTAGCGGCTGTAGCGGGCAGCGGGACCGTACGGCATTCGTATCCATGCAGGATTTTGACGATGGAGCGCTACTCTCCGGTGAGGAGCCTTGGGGGATTTCTCAGACTTAAGTTTGCTGGTGCCTCATTATATTATTATTATTATATATGTATGTATGTAGTGGAGAAATGGACTTTAGATTTAAGCCGTTATCTGCGCTGTGTTATTCCTACGTGGCCTGGTGCAAAAATGAAACATGCAACACGGGGTGTGGCGGTACGTCGGAACCGTGTTTTGATGTAGAGAAGCTTCAGGTAACCAAGATTGATTAATTATTTAAAATAATTTCCTCAAAAGTCGGATTTGGGGGTCTTGTTGGTACGGCGGCACCTCTCTTCCGACCCCTCGTCCACAGCGTTCACCTATCACTTGGCTGCCTGGCCTCCCGCACTGCCGCCGCCGCCGCCGCTAGTGCTCGTCCATGTCCTCCATGTCCCCCCCTCTCTTCCATTTACCTCTTCGCCCCGCTCCGCTACATGGCTGCCCCATCGGAGGACCTGCTCTCTGCCCTAAACTGCCCCTGCCCCCTGACCCCCTGGCCCCCCTGGCCAGATTTTCGTCTTCTCGAGGAGATCGGCCGAGCTGATGACGTGGCTCGCCGATGTCGGCCCCCCGCCCCCAAGCCCCAGCTGCCGCCCCCCCTCGCCTCCCTGGTGTACCAGGCGTCCTGGCGGAGTGTCAAATTGCTGCTCATGTCACCTGGTGAGTGGTGGCTGGGTTCGGTGGGTAGGGTAGGTAGGTAGGCAGGTAGGTAGGTAGGTAGTGGTGGGGTAGGCGGCGGGCGCGGTCGTGTGGGTTTGGTGAATGGAGGGGGTGAGCGGCGGGAGATCGAGACGAATGAATGCTTGACAGAATGAATGTAGGGATGAATGGATGTTTCTATGTATGTAGGAAATGGATGCGCGTGTATGTGTATAGCATGGGAAAAGATCAGAGGCTTGTATCCCTGGCGCGCCATTTTTTGACTGGCTAACATACAGACGAACACGCGTACGATGCAGAGCTCCCCCGCCCGCATCCTACCCCTCAACCCTCTGCTCTGTACGGCAGGTATGGCCAAGCGGAGAGCCAACACGACCCGGTACGACGCGCGCAATCGTACGATGTGGTGGCGGGTGGAGTGGCGTTTCCCCGCTGTGGGGATAGAATGTGTGGACGAGCGAGTGGATGAACACTCGGTTATTGGGGAGGTACGTCCGAATGTATGTACGTATGTACATATGTACCTATGTTCGTACACACATTTGGGTTCGTGTGACACCACGAGATGCGACGGGAAGGGGGGAAATCATGACGGAGCTGAGCAGGGTTAGTGCCGTCACCGTGTGGTGTTTCGCCTCTCTCCCCGCCCCCTCTCCACGTGAGGAGCGCTTCTTCACAACCGCCGATTGGTTAGTTATGCCTTCCTGTACACCTGCCGCAGCAGTCTTCCCTCCTTGGCATCAGCTTCACTCGCTCGTGGTTCGTCTTTCTCCCCCGCCCCTCCTGCCAAGCCAACTCCCGCTCCTTCCTCTCTCGCGCTCGACGGTATGGGAAGATGGTGGTTGAACGAACCGTTGTCGGGATCCTGTCCCCCACCTCCGCCCCCACCCCCCACCTCCGCCCCCACCCTCCGCAGGTCCTCTCCGCGCATCTCCGCCACCCGGCTCCCCACTACATCCCCCTGAGGGCCTACGCTAAAGCAGGACTAGCACAGCTGCGCGTGTTCATGCGCAAGGAGAAAACGCCGGTGAGAATGTGTTGTGTGCCTATCCGCCTGTCTGTCTGTCTGTCTGTAGGTGCGGATGTGTGTGTGTGTGGTGTTGCTTGTTTTTTTAAACGGAGGTGCTTATTGGCGTCATTTTCCTTCCGGGGGTTTTAGTTGGCGTGGTAAGGGCAACTGTGGCAAGGGAGGTGAGAGGGGGTGTTATCCAGTCGTAATGGCAACAAATCTTACCCCCCCCCTGCTCTCTGTCAGCGGTCCGTCTTACCCCCCTGCTCTCGGCGTGTCGCCATGGTGGCGGAGCTGACGTGTGGCAGATCACGTGCTGAGGACATCTGCACCGTTAAGGCTGTAGCTCAGCTTTTTCCCTCGTCCCCCCTTCAACAGACAGACAGCAAACCCACACAGACAAACAGACAGAAAGACAGACAGACAGGGCAGCGGAAGGCGTATCTATCCCCCGATCTATTCCCCCCGGTCTACCTTTTTCCCCCCCCGCAGGCCAACCAGCCCGCCTACTTTCCTATCGACACCTCCAAGCCCCTGTCCAGCCAGATTTCCTCTCGGACGATAATCGAGTACCCCGTCTTCATCGTGGCGCTGCCCCACGAGGGAGCGGAGGCCTACCCGCCGCCACCCATGCTGGCACCGCCGTCACAGCCGCCGCCGCCGCCGCCGGGGCGGCGGATGCAACCGCAACAGCCAGCACAGCAACAGGCGCCAGTACGGCAGCAGCAGCAGCAACAACTGGAAGCCCAGCCACGACAGCAGCAACAGCAACAGGCGCCGGGAGCCGCGAGTACAGAAAGGAACGGGGCCAGCGGTAGCGGCCCCATTGTCGCCGTACACTCGTCCCGGCAGAGTGCCCCGTCACCGTCGGCGAATGGCCCTGCAGCTACGGGTCGGTCGACGGCCGCTGCGGCGGCGGCGGCGCCGCCGCCGAGTCGGGTCGCTGGCAGCGCCGGGGCCGGGGCGGTGCAGCACGGCCCGCCGGCGACGGTGGCGGCGGTGGTGGCGGCTGGGGCCACGCCACGTACGACAGGGACCTCTGTACAGCCACACACACTGACGCGGCAGGTGGTGTCGGGGCACGCGGCAATACCTGCCGCCCAAGTGAAGGCAGCAGCTGCTGCTGCTGCTACTGCTGTCGCTGCTGCGTCAGGGGCAGGGGCCCAGCCGGCGCCGTCGCCGCCAGGAGGCTGCCTGGTGCCGCCCAGTACGACGGGGTCTCTCGACCTGGGTGGGGGCAGGGCCAGCGACAACCCTCTGAAGGCTCCGGCTCCGAAGCGCCAGCGTGTGGAGCCGGTAATGAGCGGCGAGGCTGGCGGCGCCGCCAGTGACGGCGCCAATGGTGCCGTAGGCGCGACTGCGGTTGCGCTTGGTTTCGGAGCCAGTTCCACGATAGTTGGAGGAGTTGGGTCTGGAGGAGTTGGGCCGGGTAAGCGTTTTAGGTCCGGGACGTCGTCACCACCGGCGGCGGCGGCGGCAGCAGTGTCGTCGCTGTCGGTGCTGGCGGCTGGCGGCAGGGAGGAGGTGGCGCACGATGAAAACGAGATAGAGCTTGGGGATACGGATGGCGGCGATATGGACGGGGAGCTGGCGGCGGCGGCGGCGGCGGCTGCGACGACGGCTGTAGGAAGCCATTGGGATTGCGGGTGGAGGGGTGACGGCGCTGGATTAAGGGGTAAAACGGGTGGAGGGGGAACAGGAGATTGGGGGGGGAGGGGAGTTCCAGGGGGAGCAGGGTACGGGATGGTGCTCGGGTCTGGGGCGCGGGTGGGAGAGGCTGGGCCCGGCGGGGGAGCTGCGGTTGCACGAGACGACAATGAGATCGACTTGGATGGCGAAATAGAGGAGTAATGTTTTGCGCGCGTGGTGTGCGGCGCGTGAGGCTTTAATAAATGGAGGTGTGGAAATGAAAGCGCTTGTTTACGGCCGGAAGATGTGGCCGGCAAAAGCGTCTTTCGTAGTCGGAATTTGGAGGGTAGTTGAAAGGACGTACGGCGGTGTAAGCTGTATACTTGCATGCCAAACCAATGAGTCAGTCGAATATGATGCTATAACACAAATGCACACGTGACATAGTGAGGGTTAGGCCACGAAGAGCAAGCTATTAGAGATGGCTGGAACAAGCCAGCTGCTGCCGCAGCGTTCGAAATGCGTTCATTCAACCTTTGGGAGGCGAAAGCTCTCTTGGGTGGTGCGAGCTTCCTATCCTGAGCATGTCAGCGATGGACCCTGTGGAAGCGGCCGTTCCGCCGACAGCAATGAGGATTCAGCCTCTCCAAAGCTGCAAATTTTTCAATTGGGCAAGGCTTCAAAATTATTAGCAGCAACGGCTCTTGTTTATCACATTGCTTTCAGTAGTAGCGCTGCAAGAGCGGAGGACCGGCCATGGAAGCCTCGCAGACATTTCCGTCGCATGGGGGAGCGCTTCACGGATACATGGGCAGAGGAACTTGTAGAGGTAAGGTTAGAGCAATAGAGGTGATTGTAGGGACAGCCAGGTCATTTCCAAAGCCTTACAACAAAGAGCCGGGGAAATGTTTCGTCCTCTCTGTGCTTTGTTATCGCAAAGCGCAAACGACCGTCACAGACCTGCTTACGTGTGACAGTTTATGAATGCGGAGTAGAATGTTTCCTTGCGCTTTTTGTTGCTGCTTGCGTTACGACCTGCCGTCATCCAGCATCGGCCCATCATCTCGCCTGCAGGAGCAAGAGGGCATGCGTGAGCGACGGCAGGAAGAAGCCCGAGTGGAGAAGTTGCGACTGGCGGAGCTAAGAGAGGTGCGCGCTGTATCCGCTTGCGCGTGTTTCGTCTTCCTTCCTTCCTTCCTTCCTGGCCCCCCCGCTGCCTCCCATGCATGTCCCCCGTGCCTGTTTGACCTGGGTTTGACTGATTTTGACTGGCTTTGACTGAGTTCGATTGAGTTTGGCTGGTTCGCTTAACAGTCCAGATTACAGGGATGGTCTTAAGTTTTTTCCCCTTTGGCCGTGCGCAGGCTGACCAGCGACGTATTCGGATGGAGGAGGAGGCGCTGAAGCGGCGTGCGCAGGAGGTGCGTGCTGCTCGGTGGCGTGTTGTTTGTTTGGCGTGTTTGGCGTGTGTGCGTTTGGCCTGGTCATTCTGAGCCGTACAGACTCACGTACATACTGCATGCCTGCATACGTAGGAAAAACCCACAACCCGGGGGAGATCAGGTCATGCGATGTAGGGCTCGTTCAGAGCCGCCGCATTCCCCCCCTTTCCCCCTTTCCCCCTTTCTCCCGAGGCGCCCCCCACCCCACCCCAAAGAAATACGACAAAAATACGGACAGTGCTGAAATAAAAAAAACCTGAAGCTTTTCCTTAAAATTTTCGAAGCTTCCCCTGCTCGACCATGACTGCGTAACGAACTTGCCGTACTTCATGCCGTACAGATTATGCTTCGTGAGCAGGAGGCAGCTCGTACCGGTGGCCTGCCCTTCAAGCTCATATTCCGGGGTACGGACTTCGCCCCTCTCGTGGTCTGGTCTTGCATCCTGGTGGCGCTGGCGGCGGCGTACCGAGGTCGGCTACTGACGTGGCTGACGGCGGGGCCCCGCCGCGGCCAAGCCGGCGGCAAGTGGGTGTACGACAGGTCCCTTGGCGGTCGCAAGGTGAGCGGCCTGCTAGTGCCCGTGTGCATGTGGGCGGGGGAAGGGGGGAGGGCGTGATATGTGTATGTGTGTGTAAAGTGTGTGTGTCTGTGCCGTACACGGATCGGGGGCTCAACTATTCTCTAAAGGTGGCTGAGGCCACAGGCCGAGAGGCTTGTTTTGATGACGGCTGTGCGCGCCGTGCCGTGGGTGTGTTTTCCCTTGTTGACATATCCGTCAACGTTGTGTCCTTGTGTTTGTACGTGTATGTATGTATGTCTTAGATTACACTGTGGGCCGCGAGAGCCGGGGGCCGAAGCCGAAACACAGCACAAGGGTCGGGAGCACACAGCACAAATCGGTTAGTTTTGTGTGCTCCCGACCCCGACTCAGACTGCCAACACTCTGTATGCATATTTAATTTTGGTGGCCAACCTTTTACCGAGCGCTCGTGCTCCATTCCTTGTTGTGTCCGGTCCCCCGCCCCCCCGAGCCCGCTACACGCGCTCTCACACGCCACGTTCGACAAATTGGTGGTTGGTAGTAGTGGGGATCGCGGTGTTGTCGTACACCGTACATCGTACATATTTTTATGTCATGTTGAGTCCCTCCTACGGTGATGACCATATTGTTGTGATGATGCCTGCTGTACGGAAACATTCCCTGTACGACAGGTATGGGTGCCGGACAGCTCCTCCTTCGCGGGTCCTTCTTCGGCCACCAGCCTTTCGGAAAAGGCGGGCCGTTCGCTGAAGGTGCGTGTACGGATGATTGTGTACGGATAACGGGGTACGAACGAAAGGTACGAACGAAGCTGTTCGGGGACGGGGGGAAGAAAAAAGGGAAGTTGGGAAATCCAAAACCCGCGATGTGTATATAAACACTGTGTGGCGTGTGTAGACCGTCAGCGCTCCCTTGTCGGCTGTCTTCTCCCTCCAGACATCAGCATCACAACTTAATTTCCGCTTCCCCGCTTTTCCCCTTTGCCTCCTTGTCCTCCTCTTCCTCCTCCTCTTCCTCCTCCTCTTCCTCTTCCTCCTCCTCTTCCTCCTCCGAAACCAACGTCAAACAGGACGAAGAATTCGAGCGGCTGGCGTCCTTCGCCGCGGCCGCCCGCACCGCCTCCTCCGAAACCAGCTCCTCCAGCTCCTCCTCCTCGTTCTCCCTGCCAGGGTGGTGGGACCCGCCCCCGGTACTGTACGCGTCCTCCGCAAAGAAGGCGGCGCGGGCCGAGGAGGCGGCGCGGCTGCTGGCCCGGCTGGAGGGCGCTAAGTTGGCGGGAAGGGACTACGAGCTGGCCGATATCCGGGTGCTGAGGAGGGTGTGTCAGGTGTGTAGGGATCGGCCGGGATAGCGTGTTTCTTTGGAGGAGTGGGAGTGGGAGGTGGTGGTGGTGAGCTTTTTCTCGGGGGCGATGTTGGGTGGTGTGCGTGTGGGTGGGGATGGGTGGGGATGGAAAGGGGGGAAGGAGGCGGGGAGGGGAAGGGGGGAGAAGGAGGGGAGGGGAAGGGGGGGAAAGGAGGAGGGGAGGGGAGGGGGGGAAAGGAGGAGGGGAGGGGAGGGGAGGGGGGGAAAGGAGGAGGGGAGGGGAAGGGGGGGAAGGAGGGCGCTGGTGGGTTTGGGCCGTAATCGACCGCAGCAACAATCACAGCAGCCAATTCTGACCAACCTGCTACAGCTAACTGAAGCGAACGGTAGCTAACTACTAACCCACAACCACCAACCAACCAACTGCAGGACGGCCACGTGAGCGTCAAGCCCAAGACGGTTGGCGGTCGTGATGCCATCTACCGGGCAGCGGTGGAGGCGGCGGTGGAGGCGGCGCAGTCCCGGAACAGCGACTTGCTAGACGGGGTGTCGCCTCCGCGCTGGGTGGCTGGGATAGCGGGAGATCTAGGAATGGAAGACGAGCGGGCGGTGGGGATTGTGGCGGCGGTGGCGGCGTCGGCGGCCCGGGCTCGGCTGTTGGATGTGAGTTTCATTGCACATTGGGTTGGTACCTACCTGACTGTCTGCCTGTCTTTCTGTCTGTCTGTCTGTGTGTCTGTTTGTTTGTCTGTCTGAGTGCCTGCGTGTCTGTCTGTGTCTCTGTTTGTCTGTCGGTCTGTGTGTTTCAGGGGGCGAAGATGCACGTGGTGGTGGTGGTGGGGGGGAAACAGGGCCTGGATGGTGTGTATGGATGGATGGGTGGATGGATGTTGCAAGCTTCAGCGAGCCCGTACGGCTCAGACAAACCCGGAGGCTCACGAACCGCTGGATGGTGGGCAGGGGCTTATGAATTGAATTGTGTGAAACGGGTACGAGATGCTGGTTTGCGAGTACGGCAGATTTCCCCCGGCGCGAGGAGGTGGCCGGGGGGGGGTGCTTGCCCCCCTGAACGTTATTGCGTGTGTTTTGTACCGCACGCATGGCCAACCCTAGCGCCTAGCGTTTCCTGTGGTAAAGCCGTCATTTCTTTTTCACTTCTCGCGAGCGCACCCACGTGCGTGCGGGTTTAACTTCAGCTACATCGCACTAGCGCTTTCCTCTACCTACCCCCACCTCTTCCCCTACCTTCTACATCCCCACATCACCCCATCACCCCATCACTACTGGTCAGTACTAACTTGCAAGTATATATCCCTGATACAGTGTCTGTCTAGTCTAATCTCGGAGCACCCGTCTATCTATCTATGGTATTCAATCAGCTTTTCAATCCGTCGGTGGCTCGTCTTACCCTTCCCCATCTCCCCGCCTCTTTCCGCCCCCTCCCCCAACAAAAAACCCTTCCCCACTCCCACTTTCCCCCCCCCCCCCAACTCCGCAGGCGGTCACTTGCCTCCGTTCCGGCAACACCGCCGAGGCTGTGTATGCCCTGGCCAGGATGGCAAGTTTGTTGGAGCTGCTGCCTGTACTACAGCCGGGTGCCGTACAGGTACGGGAAGGGGTGTGCATTTTGTCAGTGGGGGGACGTTTGGAAGAAGGGGGATAGGATGTCTGTTTGTCTGTCTCTGTCTGTCTGTCTGTCTGTCTGTGTGTGTGTCATTAATACTTGCATTGAAAACTGATCTTTGCAGAAGCTATGCAGAATGTGTGTGTGATTTAATAATTCAATATCGGAGCCGCGAAAAATGGAAGTGGGCGCCAGAATACCAAGGCGCGATCCGTAGTCACTCTGGACCCGTATGTAAAAGCCTTTTCCAGTACAAAAAAAAACTGTAGACATAGCTGCTTGAATTTTGCAACAAAAGATATTGAACTTTAAAAAGCCCGTATATATAGCTGGAACTGAACAGACTACAACAACAACAACAACGAGGATACCTGGAGTCCCAAAATGATAGAAATCTAAAATTAAATAATCTGTATTTCTATCCTTAGCTAGCGGATAAAGCAAAGAACCATGTGATCGCACAACCCGTATGGGTTGCGACGGCAAGCACAGATCGGCAGGCACAACGAACCCTTCCCGTGAATGCAAAAAAAGATTACCAAAAACGGTGCAAAGCACTTTTGTTTTTGTGTGTCAGTTTGTTTGTTGGTTTGTTTGTTGGTTTGAATTTGTTGGGAATCGCGTTTGTATCGTTAACTCTCATATTCACGAGATTTACAGTTGCTAAGGTTGAGGCGGAAGGTGGGAGGAAGGTGGGAGGAAGGTGAGGGGGAAGACGTAACGGCGAGGGAAGCAAACCTTTGCCGTTCGCCGTACGCTTATTCAGCACGCAGCGCGCAGCTGGGCATCGGCGGTATTCCGCCGGATGTGTGTATGTATGTATATATGTGTGTCTGTTGGCGATTTCCGGGTGACATCTGCACATTGCTGGATGTCTGCGCAGCTTCTTTTTTTCCTTCCCCGAGTAACCTAAATAATTTTAAAATTTAATAAGTGTGAATTCGGATCCGGATCTCATCCAATCCAGGTTGAAGCAGTGGCATCTTCGCTCCGCGATCGTAGCTCGGTTTCGGAGCGCCAAATGATGTTCCACCTCCTGGCCCAACTGTACGACGGCGGTAAGGAAGTGGCGGCGGAGCTCCTCGGTTTCGATCCTGCTTTGGTTCTTGAAGAGCAGCGGGCAGCCCTGGATGCCGCCAAGGAGGAGCGGCGGAGGGAGGACCGGCGGGAAGAGGAAGCGGCGGCGGCGGCGGCGGCGGTACGACAGAAGGAGCAGCAGCAGCAGCAGCATTAGCAGGGCGGCATGGGCGGGGGGTCTTAGTTGCAGGGGTAGAGGAGGGCGCGGAGCGAGTGTGTGAGCCGGTGTGTTGGGGGAGAGAAGAGGGGAGGAGGGGAATATGTCGCGGGGTGGCGATGGGGGCGAATTGTGGTTTTGCGGATGCGGGGGGTTTAAAGGGGGAGACGAGAACGGAGAGTTTTGGGGTTTGTGGATTAGGCGATTTCGGAAATGAACAAAGATAGCAAAGATGCGGAATGGGCGGCAAGGGAGATGAGAGTGTCTGTTTGCGTCTATGTCGGTGTCGGTGTGGGGGGTTGTGGGGATGTTCTTGGGGGGTGTTGCAATGCTGATGTTGTGTTGGGGTGACCGGGGGGGCCCGATTCGCAGTTCGGAGAAACTTATATTTCAGCAAACGTGGCGTGTTGGTGTTGCGAGCTTTGTAGCGCTGTAAGGTGCTGTGATGGCTTGCGCTGTCGCAAGGACATCTGTACTGGCGGTTCACATGGCTTGTGACAGAAACGCAAGTCGCGAGCAAGCAATTAGCGGCGCTTATGCTACAGTGTGTTGGGTTGGATGTAATTAGGTCATACAGGTGGGCGGATTACGAACAAGGTCGAGCGCTTTGCTGTTGTACGGGTGAACAAGACAAGTAGGTGACTACGGGCATTTAAGGGCGCCTGAACCTTTAGGAAAGTAATACAGTGACTTTTCCACGTATCGCCACTAAGCAACTACACAAGAGCTAGTAAATCCTGAGAATTGTGAGTACTGTAAGGCGCAAGCGCTGCTATCACGGCGGCGAGCTAGCTATTTCACTCATCCGCCTACCCATCCAAGAACAAGACAGGTGATAAGGTTAAACCGGTAAACGTCTGTTTCCGGTAAATGAAGCCAGGAATGTGGTGGAAAGGCTCCGGTTCCGTTGCTCCGAGCAATGTTGAAGATGGCTTTGAGGAAATCCATGAAGAACGCCGCGGCTTGTCAAGATGGGTAAGAAACCGTTGTAAATCCTCTGAGGTTTATTTACGTAGTCAGCTTGAATGCGTCCATGGTGACTGGTGGGGCCGCTGCTAAAGCCATTCGTCTGCGTTGACTGGCGACCGTTTCGTTAACCCGCAGATTCGGAAGCACCCAGTTATTTCTTCTGTCAGCATCACGTTCCTAATTTTGGGCCTAATTGCGGTGATCGTGGTGCCGATTACGTGTTCCATCCATGGGTGTCCACCGAAGAAGCAAGAGGTGCGCGGTCAAAGTGATTTGGACTCTAAATTTTCTGTTTATTCTCTCTTTCGAAGGATTTGCTTAATTGTAAAGCCGCGTCCCATCTACCGCAAGGTTTCAACCTGTTCTTGCGAAAAGTCACAACGTGTCAAGATATCGCTTAACATCCAACGCCCTTCGCCTCATGTGGCGCCGCAGAGAATTGAAAATCCTTTATACGATGGAGCACCATTTCGCCTTGTGGTAGCCTTTAGCAACCTGGACGTGGATGTCGCAGACTTGGTACCGAAAATCTTGCAATCTTACACCTCCAGGGTCCGGATGCTTTTATCAAACATCCAGATCCTGGAAGCCGTAGATGAGGTCATCTTAAATGCAGTGATTTCAGAGATTAAGAAACGCACAGGTGCGGTGCTTAACTTGGCTTGTAAGCGCATTATAACCGTCACCGTACCGCTATAGCCGATAAGTTTTTGTTCCCGTCCATTTTCATTCTTTGAATTCCTGCAGACATCGAATTGCTTGTACGCGACTTCGTCCTCAGAGCTCCCACCTCCGTTACCGAAGCGATAAGCTATGGCGGTAGTAGGCGGCGGTAAGCATACAGCCATAAGAGGCAATACATTATTCCAAGACAAAAACACACTAAAACGTGTGGACGTTGATATTGGGTATAGCCCGCGCGTGCCAGAGGGACCCAACGCTTTTCCCTTGTTGATGCTGTTCGCGTCAAGGATCTCAGGAAGCAGGCGTGCAAGCAAGAATGGTCGTCACGCCTGTCCCGATTGGCGCGACGCCTTGCCGTCAGTCGCCTTGCCTTGCCTCCTGAAAATACTCCTAATGCCCTGCCATCCATCTATTCCCCGTCATTGCTAGCGCGAGCACTACATCACCACATTACTATCCCCACCACCGCCACCACCACTGCCATCGCCATCTCCCGGCAATCCAAGCCACCAACCCAACCAACTCCAAAACAACCTTCCCCAACACACACACACACACATACACACGTACATATCCTTGCGCTGTGTTTCGGCTTCGGCCCCCGGCTCTCGCGGCCCACAGTGTAATCAAAGTCATACATACATACATACATACATACATACATACATACATACATACATACATACATACATACATACATTCATACATTCATACATACATACACAGATCGCTGTGCTTCACCGCAATTGGTGAAAAAAAATCCACCTACTAGTATACCTGGTGAACCACACACGTACTGCCTATCACACGTCTCTCACCACATCACTCTCAATGGCGTTGCCACCCCCCCGAGGCGCCGCTCCCGGCATCATGCACTGCGCCTCGCTGCTGGTTCTGGAGCATGTCGTACTGCCGTACACAAACCAGGGGGCCCAGCCGCCTAAGCTTAAGGACTTTGCAGTCACACGCCACCGTGGGAACCGCCGTAGATTGTCGCGCTCTGCGCCTTTGTGGTCTTCGCTTTGCACCTCCATTTCCACGTCCCGTGCCTGCAGGCTTCAGCAAACAAGCTCTGACGTCGGCCTGAATGACCCCCTCCTTTCACGAGCTTATTGGTTCAACAAGATTAATGTGACGGGCGCCTGGCAGCTGCTGGGGGTCAACATGTCGAATCCGCAGCAGCAATGTGAGGCTGGAGGGAGGGTCTCGCGGGTTTCGGAAGGTTAGGGCTTTGGGGCTTCAGAGCTTCTTACATGACGCAGGATGGCTGGAAAATGGGCTGAGGAAGGCGAGGAAGGCGAGCCTTTATAAGGAGTTTTTGTGCATGACGAGCGCACAAAAAGAAAAGAATCCGATTCCAAAACGCATCATCCTAATTTTCTCAGAAAATATTCTGAGAAAACATTCTTTTCAGTTTATGTCAAAAATATGTTTATTTTTTCGTTGTGCCTTGTTGGCTGCCGCCTGTGGTGCCTTGTGGCGGTTCCGACGCCGGGCTGTTCGTGTTTGTTGCTCGCAGTGAGTGATGTGGTCATCGCGGTGACCGACAGCGGCGCGAATGTGACGCACCCGGACCTCCTAGGGTCCTTCTGGAACAATCCTGATGAGATCGATGGCGACCTGGCCGACAACGACAACAACAGTAAGTCCCATTTGTGCGGTTTTCAGCTCTATTGGAGAGAGAGGTGTGTTCGTCGCGCGCATATATGTATATATATACATAATATAATATGTATATATATGTATGTATATGCATAAGGAAAGACAGTTTGATCCTTTCGGAGAGCTCCCGGTAACGTGAAATGCGAAGGGCGCTTTCCGGCTTGCCCAGGGAGGTCCGGCATTTGCGCTGAAGTCCTGGCCCCAGGCCATAGGCCATAATGAGATAATATAATACTCATATTCAACAAGGAACTATTGTTTCAGTGTCTGCTGCAGCAAAGATATAAAACTCTGCCCACGCTTGACATTACTCATGGCATTTGTAATGAGGTAGAAGGTATGATTAGTGTTCGCAAAGGCACTTCATGGATGGTATCAATTTATAGATTTAAACATAATAAAATATGTATTGTATGTTCGATGATATAGTTTTCGCGGCTTGGGACTTAGTGAGACAAAACAAGCAAAACTTTTGACGACTCGTTTTTATGTGCGCCGGGAGCGCAGTCTTCATCGACGACTTCTACGGCGCCTGCTTCTCAACGTCACAATGCTCGCCGACTTACTCCGGCAACAACGCTTCCACTTGCGGCATCGGTCGCAACACATCGTCATGGAACAACATCGTCGACCGAGTTCTACACGGAACCCGGATCGCGGGGGTCATCGGTGCACAGCCCAACAACGGTATCGGCATTGCGGGTGTGGCGCCTTGCTTGCGCCAGATGATTTTGAAGGTAGGTCTTCGTTTTTCATGTTTTATTTCCCGTTATGGCTTTCAATCTCGCTCCCCGCCGCGGATGAATTCGAATTGCTGAAGGAGCGATAATTTAGTAAAGGCAAGAAGAATTATTTCTTTATATAAGCGGTAGAGAAGTAAAAACTACTGGTAAGCAGGCTTAGGGTGTATTCCCAGAAGCAGAGTAAGGAATGGATGCTCCTCGTCGCCTTCAAAGGGACCTGCTGCTAGTAAATCATCATCTTGTAATTTCATTCGCACTCCATTCGTGAACAAGATACAAAAAAAGCGTTCCCGTCGGTTCTCGCAGGTAACGGACGAAACGTTTAATCCAACCAACCCGCCGTACGCTTTCTCTGATGTCGTACGCGCTGTCGACTACGCGTACGGCAAGGGCGCCCGTATCTTCTCCATGAGTTTTGGACCTAACGCGAAGTCCAGTTTCACCGTAAGTCATAGCTCGTGCTCGTTGATGACACGCTTGAGGGAGTAAGCCCAAACCTCATGCCATGCTCAGTGGTGCATGGATTTCTCTTTTAAAACCTTCCAAATCTTCTTTAAGTAATGCTTAGTTAGGCAATAGTTCCATCTTATTAGGTTATAGGTACCATAAGTATGGGCACGGCAATTTCACAAATATGAAAAATTTAAGGCTGTGGCCGCTGTTGCCACTTTTGCCAAATATAGAAGATTTATAACATAGAAGTCCGCGGTTACTGCCCCATCAAAGACCTGTATGACCTGTATGCGCGGTTCCTTCCCTTCCCTTGCCTTCCCCTCCCCCCGCCGCGTAACGTTCTCCGACATGACATCCACATCGCAGGCGTTTAACAAGCCAGGGCTGGACGCGGCAGCATTCGCTTACAAGACGCTCTTCACAAAGTACAACAATGCCCTTTTCGTCGCTGCCGCCGGTGAGGTGGCAGCGGGCAGGGGGGAAAGATGGCCCTGTAAAAATGCATTTCCCTTCTTACATTCCACAAACAGACAGACAGACAGACAGACAGACAAACAGACAGACAGGCAGACAGACAGACAAACAGACAGACAGGCACAGCAAATATGCATTTTCTCATGTACATAAAACGTGTATATGCGCGTGAAAACCACCTTATCTATCCCCACCTTTCCTGATTGCCCCCACGATGTAGTGGTCGTGTATGTTTGAAAAAAGATGTTTCATACCATATTGGGCCCCAAAAAACACTGTCAATGTCACAACACACCCTTCCGACTTTTCCCCCCCATCTAACGCCCCCCTCAATGTTTACCCTTCCATGCGTCCAGTCTCCTATCATTCCATCTTCTAAAGCCTGCCTGTTGACAGTTCACCCTTTTTCAGTGTTTTCGCTCGGATCTGGCCCCCGCCAGAACCCCGCTAACTCCGCTAAATCATGCACGTGCACCATTTGTACGGCTCCTGCCCCAAACAGGGAACGAGTGGACGAGCTTGGACACTTGGCGAGATGCCAACTACACCTATCCTCCATGTATGGTGACCACGCCTAACGTGCTGTGCGTTGGCGGTACTACAGTCAACGACACCATCTTTTATGCCTACCTAAGAAATCAAGACGTAGGCACCAACTACGGGCCGAACACCGTCGATATGAGTGCACCAGGAATGGATATCTTCACCACCGATCAAGCATACAACTGTAAGATGTATTTGTGTGGTTATAGTAAGGAGGATGCGAGGACAATAAATAATTAGGCTTTGCGCACAGGCTGGCGTTTTGAGAGGTCTGGAATGTACAGTGGCTGATGCCTAAAAGTCAGTCTGTAACTAGGTATGCCGAGGAGCAAGGTGTCAGGGCCAGGCCGGCCGTAACCTTTGCAACCACCAACAAGCCTCCTTACCGAGTACTTCTCTTCCCCTCCCCTTCCTCCCCTTTCCCCTCCGCCTCCTACCCCTTTTCCCCCTCTTCCTCTTCCTCCCTTTTTCCCGTCTCCTCCTGACTCTACACCCCTCTTCTCTCTCTCTACACACACACACACAGTCAGTAGCGGTCAAGTGGAGCCCACCTACATTTCCATATCGGGCACCTCTTTCTCGACACCCATGGTGGCGGCGGCGGCGGGTTTAGTGTTGACCGCGCTCGGAGGGCAGAGGTGAGGTGAGGGGAGGGCATGCGGCCTTCTGAGGGGCCAACCGTTGAGGGGTGGGATGCTGGGCGCGCGGATGTTGGATGCGGGCCCACTGCTGCGCCCCCCCCTTCCACGTCGCCGTCTGCCGGTTCTCATTTTGGACCCGGAACTGACTGTCCCCCTATCGTTCCCCCGTCTCCCCTCTCTTTCCTTCCCTCAACATCTCTCCTCGTCCACCTCCTTTCATCTCTCCCTCCTCCACCTTCTCACCGAGTAATCCCTGGCAGCCGGAGTTTTAGGTGCTATATCTATTGATCCGATACAGATAATACATTTCCCCCCACATTTTTCCCCACAACGAACAACTGCCTTTTTTGATTGTTTTCGTCTTCACGGTACGGTGTTGTACAACTCAATTTGTCGTACTACCTCTCCCCTTACAGTCGTGCTACGTCCTCGACACCCGCCATCGTAAAAAATCTTCTGGTCACCAACGGAGATTTGCTTCCTAGCCTACAGGCAAGCGGACCCACGGGTCAGAGTCATTGTCATGTGCATCAAACTGCTGGTACCGTTCATAGCTATTATTACCGTATTATAATACCACTGTTGTCTGATGTTGATGAAACTGCGGTGCTACTTAAAATGTCTATGCACTGCATACGAAAATGTCGCTCACGTCTTATATAAATGGTCCCATGTTGATGAGCGCTCAGCGAATCCACGGTCATGCCAACTATTAACTATCAACTGTCAACTGCCAACTGCACAGGGCCGGTTTCGCAGCGGCCGGCGACTGAATGTGGGCAATGCGGTGGCGGCGGCGCTGGTGACCGCACAAACTAATCGAACCGGTAAGCAGACCGGGGAGAGGGCAGGAGGGCGGTGTGTGTGTGTGTGTGTGTGTGTGTGTGTGTGTGTGTGTGTGTGTGTGTGTGTGTGTGTGTGTGTGTGTGTGTGTGTGTGTGTGAAAAGAGGGACTGAAAGTAATTGGCACTCCCTAGGGAACGTTGAGCTTCAGCGCCAGCAGCAGCAACAGCTTCCATTTCAGCTGTTTTTGTTTTTTCTCGCAAAGCGGCAAAAGCTGCTTTCATAGACATATGCGATTATGCACGTGTCTATTTCCGTAGTCCGCAACGACTCGTACAAAATACCGTACAACACCGTGCATTACAAAGCAGCCATATACACGCATAGAATACGTGCAACGTTCTCGGCCAAGCTAGTTAAAACCATCCCCCTTAATAGTAGTTATACACACAATCGCCCTCTCCCTGCGAATTCCGCTGTACGAACTGCATGTACGACCGCGACGCGTACTCGCGCAGTCGTAAAACGAACAAGCGCATTTGAGAGCGTCAACACCTCGGTCGCCTTCCAAGGCTGGGAATACACTTGGTGGAATGGTACCTACCTGGACAGCCCGTTCGACGCCGCCGACAAGAGCTACAATTTCGTGGACTTCTATGTTCGGGTGGGCGATGTGGCCTGTGTCGCTGTCCGTGCATGTCTCTTGATTTTTGTGTAGCTGATCCTCGGACGCCGTGCGTGTATGTGTGTATGTATGTATGTATGTATGTATGTATGTATGTATGTATGTATGTATGTATGTATGTATGTATGTATGTATGTATGTATGTATGTATGTATGTATGTATGTATGTGCGTGTGTGCGTGCTTGTGTGTCGTCAAATATATCGACACAAGCACAAACACCAGCACCAGCACCAGCACCAGCCGACAAGGAGGGATTGGGTTCCCCTTACCGCACTCGCACCGGTCACCTCGGCTCCGCGAGCTATCCATGCGTAACACATGCCAATGCACCAGGCATCGGCACCGTTACACCTTCTTTGCGCTCTCGTACCTCCGACATTTGTTTCGGCCCCCTGCCTTCTTCCCCCCCTTCCCCCCCTTTCCCCCCCCACAACACATCGCGTCTTTAACCAAACTGCGTCCATTTTAAGACCGCCTCTCCCTCCAGTGTCCCCTGTGGCCACCCACCCGCCCACGCCCCCTTCCATCCCCCCTTCCTCAATTCCTCCGGCGAAACTGCAGAACCAGCCCACCTCCAACTTCAACGTTTTTCGTTACTCCAACTCAAGCTATAAGATGATGGCCACTACCATGGCGAGAATCGACACGCCAGGGTTTTATTCCATTCAGTATCAGGCGTCAGGCATTTCAAGTAGACGGTGGCAGTTGACAGTTGGAGAAAATCCGTTGGTGTGGGGCGAGGGAGCTAATGATACCGTTGGCACCGTTGAACTCATCTTTCCAGAGCCAGGTCGGTCGGTAGGCGGATTCAAAACACAATAATCTTGCGCTGCATTATTGTAGTATAACATATGTATATATATATACATATATACATATATACATGTATATACGTACTATAATACATGTATATATACATATCTTTTACCCTCATCTTGCACACGCTGGCTTATTTAACAACAGTTGCCAAAAACCCACTGTAACGCCGTTACCTAGTACTTAATAAAGACCTCTACACGATTGAGAGGCTTTCAGTACATGGGTGTGTGCACCACAGCCCCGTGCCGGGGTCTGAACCTCGCAGCACATTTCCCAACCGTCGTCGTACGCTGCTGGAGATAGTGATCAGTTATATTAGTTATTAGATGGCTCTCCTTCGCCCTCCTGTGCAGCATCCTCCGTATGCCGTACCTATGCCGTAGGTATTTTTTACGTGATATATCAATACACACATACCGTCTCCTCACATACTCCTTCCTTGTTCCCCTCCCTACCCCAACAAACCCAACATCGTCGTCGTCGTCATCGTCGTCGTTGTCGGCACGTTGGGGCCTCCTCTCCACTACGTTTGGAATGTGATGGGGCGGCGCATGGCGGCGGCGGCGGCGGTTGTTGCGTGTCGTACTAGGCTTCTACGAGATGACGCTTTGGATGTTCCCGGAGAACTCGAGCTCCCTTATCAACTTTTCTTGGCTAACCCCGTTGACACCAACTACCTGGTCTTCTCCGTCGTTCTGCTGGGTGCTGCACAGCAATCCGCCAAGCAGCCGCTACTATGATCCCAACATCGCGGCCAAGTGAGAAAATATAATACGTACTTGGCACGATTTGAACCGGGGTCGAAAGCATGGGAAAGGAAGTTCCATAACCGTTTTATCCTCGCGAAAAGATCTATTTTATCACTTCAAAAATGATGCCACATGTTGCTTCGCAGGCCTGCGCTATGGCACGTGGTGTGGAATGAGGCCGCGTCCTGGTCCACCTTCGATACGAGTAACCGGGGTTACTTCGAGTTGAACAAGAGCCCATTACTTTACCGGGGGATGCAAACCACCGTAACCGAGCTGTCCTTTGCAAATGGAACCGAGGTGTGTTGGGCTTTGGATTGACTTGGTGACTTGGTTTGAGAACCCAGTTCCCATATTATTGATGCGGTTGTTGATATGTCGCTGCTCCTACTGTGCTGCGAACGTGTATGTACGGGAAGGCGACAAAACCTGGTGGGAATTCAGACGTCAGGCAGCTATGCGGGTGGCGGCAATGTTGATGACCCCCACCTCCACATTCCTCAGCTCCTCACACGGCCCCCATCACCCACACACACACGGGCCCCCTCCCCCCTCCGCCAAGCACTGATCCCCTCTTCCCCCCCTCCCCCCAACAAGCACACTCACTCATACCCCATACACACGGCCGCACCCGCCCACATACAGTTGCGTAACGCTCTGTACGGCACCGGTGGCAGCCCTTCCAACAACCAAACGGTTGTGTACGGCTACGCACGTGCCAACCTGAAACCGATGACCTTCAGCAGCGGCATCAGCTTCCGCCTCCAGGGGCCCCACACGCGGCTTTACATCAACGACCAGCTTGTGTTTGACTTCCAGCACGACAGCCAAGTGATGACTGTTTCGCCCTGCGTTACGTTGCAAGCGAACCTCACCCACGAGGTCGTGTTTTACTTCGCCGCGAGGGTGAGCTCACGACCTCTGTAGTGTAATATGTTTGTCTGTGTGTGAGTCTGTGTGTGTGAGTCTTTGTGTGTGTGCCTGTGTGTGTGCGTCTGTGTGTGTGTGCGTCTGTGTGTGTGTGTCTCTCTCCCTCTCCCTCTCCCGGGAGATTTTGTGTCTCTCTCCCTCTCCCTCTCCCTCTCCCGAGAGATTTTGTGATGGAAGGTCAAAGAAGAGAAGGGAAGAGAGCGGAGGTCGCTCCCCCTTGTTGATGGTGGGGTTGCAGAATGACATACAGAGCGACACTGCACCGTACATGATATGCCGTATATGTACGTGATATGCCGTTGTTTTTGGAACGTAGTGGCGGTGGACGATAGATGCCTGAGGATCACACCAGGAGAGGGATCCCCACCCGTACAGTGCGAATGATAGTACGGCAGGTGTTTTGTGTTGTGTGTGTATGCATGTTGTTGCATATATACACACACATTGTGTGTGTATGCATGTATCCACCCCTCGTACCAACCCCCCAACTCCCCCCCACCTCCCAACCTTGGCTAACTCCACAACAGGTCGACGCAAGTAACCCTGTGGGGCTCATGTGGGCGAACTGTACGGGTACGGAGGGCATCACCGGCACGTCGAGCTCGTACATTTCCCTGTCCAACAGGTACGGGCGTAAGCTATATCGCATTCAATTCCGTACTTCGCAGTACTGGCGGCCGTAGATGGTCTCCTCCTCCTCCTGTGGGGCCTCCTCCCCCCTTTCTCTCTGTCCTCTCTCGCACACTATTGCAGGAAGGCCTAAGTTAAGGATTAGGGGTGTGTGTGTATGTGTGTGTGTGTTTCCGCCGCCGCCGCCCCGTTTGCATCCCCACCTGCCTGGCTGCCTACCTGCCCTACCTACCGACAACCATCGCCAGCAGCAGCTGCAGCAGGAGCAGCTGACCACTGCTTCGACCGTGCGTGTGTTGCCTACACACCCACACACACGTGGCGGCGTCATCATTACCGCTCAGAGCGCTGACCAAGTCCGCCAACAACGCCCCACCGAATCATTTCCTCCACCCTGGAGGACTACTAACCAACTAACCATAAAAGTCCATAACTGCAACTGCAACTAGACAAACCACCCACCGGCCCATCGCGCAGCTAACAGCCCAACAAACCCAAAACCCCCAAACCCAAACTAACTAAATCCATTTACGCAAAACTCCCCCCCCGCCCCGGGTAACCACCCAACCACCTGACAGTTTGGCTACCAACTTCTTTTGGGCGCCAACCAGCATTGCCGACCTTCCCCGGGGATTCCGTTGCGATGCCTGGCCCATCAACTTCACCAATCCGCTCGTCAACCCCACACCCGCATTCGGCACGCCGGCAGCCCTTACGTGGGTCTATCCCCGGGACTGCCCCGCCAGCTACAGGAACGGATCGGAGTGCAAGATGCAGACGAAGCTTAAGGTGGGCGATGGAGACACGGATGGGGACTCTGATCACGGCGGTGGTTGGTGGTGGTTGGTGGTGGTTGGTGGTGGTTGGTGTTGAAAAATGACGCGATTGGGGTAGTTGCTATCTTACTGGTTTTAGGGTGGTGTGGTATAGCTGTGTTCGTTTATAGTATAAACGTCACACATGTCGTCGTCTTTTACAGCGACCAGCTACTGAAGGTGGTAAGCAGGCCTGGAAGAAAATATTATTATTTTGGGGGTTTGCGATGTTGTAGGGTGGATATCTTAAACATGAGTCAAGGAAATTCAGGGGTCTGTAGGTCTGTAGGTAGGTAGGCAAGCATCTGGATGGTGGTGGGCGGCGAGCTGTGTGTCCTCGGGCGCGGAGAGGGAGGGAGGAGGTGCCTGCGGGCTAGGATGTACATTGCAGGTTTGGGTTGGGCCCATAAAACTGTTGCTTGAATTATTGCTTGGTTATACGCATCTATGCTGCCGTACAGTACGACCTGGCGCTGCTGGCCTTTCCCCTCTCCCCCTTTCCCGCCCGCAGGTCGCGCCTTTTATAGACTTCTGTTCCCCTCCATTTCCCCCCCCACCCCCCCACCAACCCAACATACACATACACACCGNTTACCACCATCCCTTCACGTTCATCCTCACCCTCATCCTCATCCTCACCCTCATCCTCAAACGCTCCCTCCCACCCTACACACGAAGACCGAAAACATGCCCCGTCCTGCCCCTCACCCATCTCCAGGATCTGTTCCCCAACGTCACCTGGACGGTCTGGAGCATTCGCTGCTACACCTACTACGCAGGGAGCCTCAACAAGGGCATCACCGGCGCCCTGGTCCCGAGCGGGATCATTTCTCAGAACCTGGCGGGTGTCCGAGTCTATTATCAAGGGGGTTCCGTTTTCGGTTCCAGCTTCGCGCCGGTCAATACGAGGTTTCCCGCCGGGGTCTATCAGCTTTACGTCATAGAGTGGACCGCGATCAACTCCCAGTGGAATTTGCTTGCATCGCAAATGGTTTACGACGGCGCGACGGGTGCTGGTAGCCCTGTTCTGACCACCAATTCCACCTTGATGATCCTGCCGCCCGCCGCCAACGCTACTCTTTCCTGGCGGGAAGTCACAAGTGCGTAGTCCAGGGAGGGCGGGGCCGCGTCGCGTCAAATTGGGCACCGCACCGCACCGCTACGCCGACGTTGAGCTACCGACACTGACGGCAGCAGCTACTGCCGCGGTCGCCGTCGACGTCGACGTCGTCGTCACAGCAGACGCCCCACCTGCCCGCTGGCCTCCTAACAGAAACGAAGTTGCAGCGTGGGGGCTCTTCCTGCCGACAGAAAGTAGCGAGCTGCATCTCAGGGAGGTCGCGTCCAGGACCGGGAGCGACCGGGAGCCCGACGAGTACGTATGTATGTATACATGTATATATGTATGTGTGTCTGTTAGTGGCGTGGCAGCGGCGGAATGTATTTCTGTGTGTACATTTGGCAGACAACAGCGGCGCGGGACCAGAAAATAATAATTACGCGATTTCCCTTATTTACCGCTGTATATATCTGCGGCTCCGCCGTACAACTGCCGTACGGTACGATTATACCGCCTAGGGAAAGCTCCAAGTGCGCGCACAATTCGGTGTGTGTGACGCTGTGTGACATAGCACACCCGCGTCTGGTCGATGCCATCGCATATCGGTCGCACCGTAGAGGGGTTGTGTTGTCCGGAATTATTGTTTCCTAAGCCGCGCCGCGAACATGAGCGTGAGCCAGCCTCTATTCTTCCCTCTCCTGGCTGTGTTTTTTAGTATCGTGTGTATGTATATATGTATGTATGTACATATGTTTGAGCCACGAGGTCTCCTCGCGCGCGCGGCTTCTGGCTGAAGGTAGTAGGGCCGTCCGCTTCCGTCATACACACACGCACACACGCACGGTTTAGCGCCGACCCCCGACCCCCCCTCCCCCACCCCCCGATATTACCCGACCCCGCGAACGTGTGTGGTGTGTAATCCTGGATCCTGACGCCCTTGTGTACGGCATGCGGACTGAGGCCCCCTGCGTTTGCATGTGGGCTCGGGAAGCTGGGGATAGCACTGGTTACGTTGCATGTCGTACTTGGCATGTTGTACATATTTGGTTTGGCAGAGTTAGTTGATCCAGAAATCGGCCCCGGGAGACTGCAGGAGAAAAGAGCGTGCCTGGCCCGGTGGCAAGACGACGAAAAGGATGGGATCTTAAATTTTTGGTGGAACTGTGTGGTGCTGCGTCGTACCCCGTGATGTCGTACCAACTGTTAGCCCCTTTACCAGACATTGTTGTACATAATGCGGATGCTGTTCATTACAGGGATCCGCTGGTCCAGGGGGGTATACAGATAGTACGGCATCGTACGAAATCGTACGAAGTCGGATGTATGACGTATTCATTGGATGTGGGTAGGGGAGTCTTCCAAGCAGGCGCGGCCCTCTGTCGGAAACGTTTTTTCCGTACAATGTGGGTAATTTTCAAGGACGTGCGGAGGAAGGGTCTACTTATGCGGGAAATGATGTGTGAAGTGGCAGATTTCTGGTAGTTGCGTGTATCGTCCCAGTTAGGGGTCGAGTCTTCTTCTGGCCAACGCCAAATCGTGCCGTACTCGTGCCGTACACGAGGAACAGTTGGGACAGTTGCCTATAGTCCAGTGCTTCATCAAATTGGTCGTGTTTATTGTCGACAAAGCCTATGTGTGGTAAAAGCGAGCAACCCGCCCCAAGTAGATACAGTGGCGATGTATTCACGGGGGCCGCTGGGCGCTTCGTGCTTAGGGCTGATCGTTAAGGCCTGCAGCAGTGTTTTTTTCTCGCGCTGTCTTTATTGCGTACGACTGTACGACAATTGTCCTCCTTCCCGTCCGACCTAAATTTACTTCACCCCCGGTTTCGCAACTGCGCAACTGCGCGCCACATTGGCTCATTTCTTACGTTTCATACCGTACAGGTATAGTACATATGTGTCGCCTGTACACAAGTATACATACAAACATGCATACTTCACAGCATACGAACAACGGAAATTCTGTGGAGCACACGCTGTGCGGCACACGCTGCGGCACACGCCCCGTCCTCCTCCTCCTCCTTCTCCTCCTCCTTCTCCTTCCCCCAAACGCTCTTATCCTATCCGGATCTGCATCGCGATGGAGTTATAGGATGGCTTTGTCCTTTCTCCCTTTCTGCGAGTCTGTGGAACCCTAGGGATGCGTTGCGTTGTGGGGGACTTCGAGGTTGAGGAGGAGGAGGAGGGGGAGGGTATGTAAGCGCAGGCATGTGTTTTGCACTCCGGGCTGTTGGCAGTTGCGATGGTCGTTGTGGCGGTGGCGGTTGTGGCGGTTATGGAGTCGGTAGTAGGCGCGAATGCTCAGGAAGACATCTTGGAGAGGAAGGGCTTTGTTGTCTGTCTGTCTGTGTGTCTGTCTGCGTACATGAGCGTGTGCGCATGCGCGTGTGTGTTTTGAGCGATGCGTTTGTGCGTTACGTGAGGGACAACCCTGCCTCAGTGCCTCAGTGCATTCAACTCGTAATTTGAAGCAGCAGATTGGACGGCGGGAGGCGCCATTCGAAGCGGCTGATAGATGGAAAGATGGAAGATGGGTAGAAAGAGGCAATTGGCGGAAACCAATGACGAAGACGGGGAGGGTAAAGCATGTAGGCTGATGAAAACCTAACGCGCACACGCATGTCATACTCTTGGTCTTCTCTTCGCATCTCCTCTTTATCTTATTTTTCGCTCACGAGGTTACTCCGGATTTGATATTGCCGGCGCGCGAAGTTATTGCACTTTTATGTTCTGTAGCCTTGCTTAGAATCCCTGCCGTACTCAAGGCGTGCCTCGAAAAGGCGGCATGGACCTTCTTTTTGTGCATGTACATAAGTCCTTGTCTGGGTGTTGGTATTTGTACATAACAGTATGCTGTGGGTTGCTGTGTTGCAGCATTTTGCGATAAAATAAATTGTGTTGTGGTCGAACGCGGAGAAGGCGGGCTTATTATATAAGGAAAATGCAGTTATGCTTCGGACGCTGGTGGTTGGATGGTTGGCTGCGACGCATCAACAGGACTCAATCAAACTGGTCTGTTGTGTCCAGAGTGATGCGTCCTTTTAGCAGCTGTACGGAGCTGCGGTACGCGGTTTTAATTGAAATTGTTACAATTCCATTTTTGTTTCTTTATAGCAATTCACTTACTAGTTCGCATGATCCAAATTAAATATTACAGCCTTGTTTGACAAGGTTCGCGGATGTGGATGCTGCAATTTTTGCATCGCTTTTCAGTCCCTTTCGGTACCATGTAAGAAATATATTAATTTATCTACATGTTTCAATTCCATTGATGGACGAACTGAAAAGGGGAACCGCGAAGTGCATGTGTGTGTATGCATCCAACATCGCGCCTGCTGGTCGCCAGCCAACAGCTCATCTCATCATCCCTCACCTCGCCACAATACCTCAAAATACCTCCGCACTCCTACTACATCGCCAGGACGACACGGCCATGATAATCCCTCAGACCATTTCACCACCATCGACTCCATATACATATACATATATATACCCAAGCTGCGAGGCTGATGCCGATTAACGACAATCAAGAACGCGCATATAAACCGGCTCCAGCAGGTGGATTTCATCATCCACCATCCTTGCCAGTTTTCGCCCGCGCCGCCCACACCATAAAAGGACAAAAACCATATGAGAGCGAGGTGGCGCGGGGAGGAGAATCCACGCACGCACTTGCACCTAAGGGTTGTTGCGGAACACCCATAGTCTATGAGTCATAGAACGCCTTTGCGTCTTTGCGTCCACCTCTTTGCACAGCCTCTCAAGGGCCCTCGTCGGGGCCCTCCCGGCACAAAGAGGGGTCCCTAGGTTGGAGCTAACTGGTTGGAACCAGAGAGAACAGAACCGCAGAACACAGCGTGGGCCCTCGTCGGGGCATCAGAGGCATCAGAGCGCCACCACCACCACCACCGGCGGTAATATCCACCACGATACAGCCAGGAGGACGTGGCGTCCACCCAAGTAATGATAACATCTTTTCACTCGTTCACTCCATTGACCGCGGCCTCTTTTAAAAAGGTGTCGTCCACACTACAACTCCACGCAAGGCGGGGCGATCAGCGAGAGAGGGCCGGCGAGTAGCCTGTGGCCGTGCGGGAACCAACACCCCCGGCAGCGTCCACAACTTGGACCGCATGGACAGAGGGAGAGATGAAGTTGGCACCCCATCCACCCGCAGCAACCCCATGGCGCTTCCACATCTTCAAACCCTAAGCCTCCCCTTCCCCCTAAATGTCCTGAGCACACATTCGCAGCATCAAGAATGAATGATTGGGCCTCACGTATCTCTCCGGGGCCCCCCTCCACACACACACACACACTCACACAGTGCCGTAGCTAGCTCTCTCGCAGCAATCTAAGCGAGTGTGCTTCCACTCGAATCTCGTCGCCAAACGTGATTGGTGTACGTGTTTTTATCCGCATCATTTGCTTGCTTGCACTTGGTCAGGAAGTCAAAGCGCGATAGATGTCACAGCTAACTATCTACCTACCTGCCTACCTAGCTAGCTGCCTACACAGCGAATGACATTGTTAGTCTTGGTTCGATACATACATACAGATATGCATACATGCATACATACGTACATACATACATGGGGACGGAACCATGACCTCGACGTGACAGTCGCTGCGAGACCCCGAGTGGTGCGAGGAAAGGTGTCTGCGCCAACGAAGCACACGAAAAGGCGTCTGCGCCAATGAAGTTGAGGAGTTATTTCGATCAGGAATCAAAAAAAGAAAGTAGAAAATATGTATAGCAAGTTGAAAAGAGGAGAACAGAAATGAAACACGCTGAGACAAGCACATAACCAAAAACCGCACAAGGCAGCAAACTAGTTGTGGGAGCATCCAGGGGGGAGAGAGAGAGAGAGAGAGAGAGAGAGAGAAAGATGCAAAACAACCCCAATACACGTCAGCAGCCGTTTCCCGCTTCACAATTCGCCGCCATTCGCCACCTACGAGCCCGGGTAATGGACGCCTACATACATACGCGCATACACGCGTACAGAGCGGTTTCATTACCAGACAAACAAAACAATATTTCATTCTAATCCGACATATACACAGACATATACACATATACCTAAAAACGTCATTACGGCCCATCGCCGCCATTTGGACGTTCTTGAACCTATAGACACATTCCCAATGTCCGTGCTACTACCGTACAACTGCCGTACTATTATTGTACTACTACCGTACTAGTCGCCACGTACATCCCCGTCGCGCGCTTTATTATTAAAACATTGCGTCAAAATTGAGATGTCCTACTAATTGGGTAAATTTGGTTTCCAATCCGAAACATCTGCGGCGCCGATGGATGAGGAGTCCCGAAGGACGATGGCCGACCCCCACTTGCCAGGACAGCAGCTGCTGGCCACCTGCGGATGCCGCGAAAAAACGCTTTGGAAGAACATTTCTACACAACTCCCTGCCTACATACGTTTAGCAAGTTGACGTCCATCCATCCACTCATCCACTCATCCATCCATCCCTTTCACCCAGGTTAACACGTCCTCCAGTTGAAGAGGCTGTTGTTCACTTGGTGCTGTTGCAATCACAGCAACAGTAACAGCGGTTGCGGTGCTTGTGGTGGTTGTGTAAACTGACTTATTACTTAACGTGGCAGCGCCAATACCGCGCACACCACACCACACCATTACCGACCAAAGCCCCCCCGGATCACAGCCCTTCACCCGACAACGTACACAGCTCCTTGAAAGGTAGGCTGAATGGAAGGGGCATACTGGCTGATTGAAAGTGGGTTTGGATTCTCGTATTGAAGACGACGAGGCGCCTTTTGATCAAAATCGAAATCGAGCGCCTGAGCAAGGAGGTTATCCAGACAGGGCTAGGTCTGTCCGTGAGCCCTCAAAGCAGTTTAGGCTTGTTGTCGGCATCCCCCCCCCAAATCGGTTCTCACAACTCCTCACAACTCCTCCCACCTGGGAGTCCCCCCTTTAGGTCCTCTGCGGGCTCATAGACCAGCCGACCCAGATCAGATCGCTGACCCCGGAATCTTAATCGCGCACCCACATGGGTTGTTCCTCGTCATTCATACATGAATCTACCTTGTCCTGCCGCTTCACGGCCCTGCTGCCCTGTTTTCCTGACCTCGCAGATAGCTGCATATGACGTAAAACATAGCATGAGCGACAACACGAGCCGTGCGGTCAACACGAGCCGTGCACGCAAAACCCCAAACTATAGCACTATAGCACTATAGCAGTACAGCAGTAGCGCGCGGCCCGTAGCTGACAAGCAGGCCCCTGGTCTGCGCGACCAGCTCTACCCGGGAAGCAGGAGGAGGAGAAGAAGGAGGAGGAGGAGGAGGTGGTCGTTGCCCAGATAGCCGCCGACGAGATAGCCACCCCTTCGTGTGTTTAAAAAGCAGCAGCCTCCTGCGAGGGCGACGGTACCAGCGACGGCGACGGCGATTGTTCCATGATCAGGTTCATGACGTCCTCGTCCTCTGCGGTGAAGACGCCCCGATTACGGGCGGGGGCGGAGGCGGGGCCGCTCCAGCGGCCGCAGCCGACACCGCCATGGGCCCCCCCCGGCCCGTCGGAGGAGAATTGCGTCAGGCGGCGAGCATGCCCCTGATGCTGCTGTGGCGCCTCGTCAAGGCTGTAGTAACCAGATGCGCTGCCACTGCCAGCTTCGCTGCAAACGCTGGCGGCCACGGAAAGGATGTCCTCCTCCAGGAGCCGCCGCCGCATGCCTTCCGTCTTGAAAGCTGCTACAGCCAAGATGCGCTGCTGCCAGCGGCGGTCGTGGCGGCCACGGCGCAGGAGCGCAGCTGCAGCGGACCTGACGGCACCGCCGCCGCCGCCGCCGCCGCCGCCGCTGACAACAGAGGCTGCTGCCGCTGCCGCTGCCTCCAGAATGTCCTCCTCTAGTCTTCGGAGTTGATCCTCTTCTGATTCCGCGAAGGACGTGGCAGCAGATAGGGGCAGCACGGCGGCCGCGGGTGAGAGACGGCCGTCGCCGATGCTCCTGTTGCTGCTGTCACGTTGGAGTTGCGACGGCGCCGTGTGATGTTGCGGGTTCGTCGCCGGCCGTGCTATCACTACAGCAGTGACCATCCCCGGTGCGTCCATCGCGAGCGCAGAGTGAAGACTTCAGACGTTATGGTCCGGCTGTCCCGCGAGATGTGAGAGGATGGAGAGTGGTTGCTAGCAGCAGTATTGTCGTCTTCGTGACCTTGAGAAGGCAGATGCCCCACTTTTGCGCCGAATGTGTCCACGCAAAGAAGATGATATCAGCATTACAAAGGAAGCTGGTTGTGCGTCCCGTATCGACAAGTTGACCTTTGCGCAGTCACACTATAGCCTCCACATTTGTACGCGTAGCGGAAGAGATGACGAGCAAGCGTGAAAAAATCTTTTAAACTTCTACCTTATCTTATGGCAATAAGATTATACGGAAATAAGGCTCCGTTCCCTAATAATTGTCCCAGGACTGAAGTATGGTGGGATCAATGCGAGTCGGGTAGGAAAGTAACTCAGGAAATGCAGGTTAATCCAGCATAAGGAAACCTGCAATACTACTAATGCCTGAGTATGTATTATTGTCTGCTATGGCCATGGTCAACGAATAAAACCCTTAGGAACATACCTATCGTTAGTTTTCTCTTTCAAATCCTAAAGCAGCAATAGTTGATGCAAAATATGAGCTGACACCTTGCACAGAAACCGAACGGCGGCGCTTCTTCAGAGTGCCCGTAGATGATTCAAAGAAAGGAAAGTATCATCGTCACCGAACATGAGGGCATCAGGAAATTCCTTTAATAAATTGTACTCAATTTCGTAATAAACCATTGGAATTACAGGGTTCTACCCGCATACTGGCTGCGCAATGTACGAAGCGGCATACGTCATATGCAAAACTTAAAGCTCCTCTATGCAGCCATGCATGAACGCATGCTTCGTAATGGCCAAGGCCACGAAGACTGAACGACTTTCACGCCCGCGAAGGTCACTCGCAAGTTGCAACCTCACGCTCAATTCTAAGCAGAATCGGCGTCTGATGCAGAAGCGCGAGCTCGCCCGAAGCTAAAACTGTGGAATGGTCCACATGTACATAAAGCGCTGCGGCCTGCGGTTAAGCTGGAGGTCCCCTGAACCTGTGCGATCCCCGCACTTAACATCTTCTCTTCCCTCCCCCAAAAAATAACAAGGAAGTTCCTGAAATATGGTCTGAAGTCTAACATCACTTTGCGTCGCAACACGCAAATCGACCTGCATTTCTCTGACCTGGCCTGGCCTAGCCTGCGCTGCACAGCCTGCAACCAGCAGCCATGCACAACGCACCTTTGCATGATGAACATTCCTATAACATCGGGAGGAATAATCGACATAACACAACCACAAATGAGCGAGACCGCACACCAAAGATGCCCCCCCTCCTTGTCTCGCGGCAAAAAGAAAAACACGCGCCAAGCCCCACCCTGCAGTTCAGCTCCCCGACTACTGCCCGCCAACCCACCCACCCCTCTGTGTACGCCCGCACCTGACCTTCTCCTCACCCAAAAGCCGCTGCAGCTACCCTTCCTCCCCACTACCTTTGCCGCCACTTCCTACTACCTCTTTTCAACCCCTCCACATATACACACACAACACATACACACAACACACAGATCCGACAGAAATACCCAAACTACCCGTTGACCAACCGTCGACCCTGTGCCCTAATGGCCATTGGCGGGGCGCCCCCCCCCCCACACACACCACCACCATCATCATCATCTATGCGACCCCACCGAAGTACGTCCGTTCGATAAAGCTACCACGACACAACCTGCTTCCTAGGGAGGGGGACCCCAAGTCCCTCGCACAGAAGGAAAACATTCCGGAGTTCTGCCAGGATAAAGATGGAGATATGATGGCGACAGCGGCGGCGGCGGTGCGAGCTGGTGCGAGCTGGTGCTGATGCAGGTGGTGGAAAATTATGAAGAAAGCTTTATGCGCTGCTATAACGATCCGATGAGAAAATGTGGCACCACACAGTAGAAGTGCGAGATATACACGGCAGCACGGCGCCCGCGTGATTCACATCTGCGACTGCAACAGATCTGCTGCAGACTTCAATGCATCATAAAAAGAACGCAAAATTCGCCTTTTCCGGTGGTGCTTGAAAAACTGCGAAAAAAAGATGTTATTGTTCTCAGCTACCAAGGGAAAAGAACCCTCTTCCGACGTTTTCAAAAATATAAAAAAATCGAGCCGAGCCGAGCCTAGACATCCCCTAATAAGACGAAAAAAAAGGGGACGGAGAAGGAACAGAACGCGACACGAAGAAGCTAATCCCCTCACCTGGTCAGCCTCCCACTGATCATCACCCCCCCCTCCTCCTCCTCCTCCTCCTGATCTCCTCTTTCTCGCGGGTCATCTGCACACCACCGCCGTCAGAACCACCCTCTTCTTCATTCTGCCCCGCGATTGCTAATCGGCCACCTCGTCTCGAGTACGACGACGCCACCTACCAGGGGGGGTTCCGCAGCTCTCACCCTGCTCTGCTGTCGCTCTCTCTCTCTCTTTCGCTCTCTCTCTCTCTTTCGCTCTCTCTCTCTCTTTCGCTCTCTCTCTCTCTCTGTCCTTTTCTCTCGTCACCTCGACTTAGCTTACACCTACACCTACACCTACACCTACACCTACACCTACACCTACACCTACACCTACCTCTGCGCCTCTCTCTCTTTGTGCTCTTCTCTCCCCAACAAGACACCTCCAGAAAAAACTAGAAGTTCACACATACATACATACGGGCTCATTTCCCCCAAAAAAACACTCTTCCTTTCCTCACACCAAACGGAAGGGAACAAAAACGGCACCGACGGCCTTGGGAGGAAGTTAGTGCCTCGTCGCGCTTTCCCGATAGAGCGCCTTTCCCGAGCTGCAGCTGCTGCAGCTGCAGCGGGTGGGGACGGTACGATGCTGGCGAGGGGGGGGGCCGCCCGCCGGAGGTACGACACTAAGGAAGGCAACTTCCACTACCACACTATAAAAAAGGACACAGCGATCGATGCATCATGCCGTACATCCCGAATCACGCGTCGACACGTTTTCTTGGGGGGCCGGGGGGGGGGAGAGGGGGAAAGACGAACCACACACGATTGAAGCTGCTGCGGTGGGGGGGGGGGAAAGGAGGGCGAAAAGGCAGCTTCTGAGAGAGCTCATTTCCAATCGGTTCCGTAATAATTATTAGGTAATCCAAACCACCATTTCCATTTCTCCGCGACAGCTTCCGAACCCTCGCCGCTCACATCCGTCGCCCGACAGCCGCCGCCGCCGCCGCCAGGGCTACCGTCACCGCTACCGCTACTGCTACTGCTACTGCTGCTAATCATCCTATTGCCATTGCCATTGCTGTTGCCGGCTTGTTGTCGCCGCGCCTGCATCCGCCGCTGCGCCTCCTCCCATTGCTGCCGGTACAGTGCATCACGAAGCTCCAGTCCCCGCATCAGCCTCATGGCGCGGAGTACCTGCGCTGCAGAGCTGAAGTCAAAGTGCTTCAGACACAGGCGGTACGCCAGCTCGCACATCTTCCGGTGCGGCTGGCCGCCGGCCGCCAGGAAGCGCCGGAAGGACAGCAACGCCGGACCCAGCTGCCCCTGCTGGCCGTACGCCTGTGTGTTGGAGTACGACATGCAGGAGGGCAGGAAAGCAGGAATGAAGGCGGGAAGGAGGGAAGGCGGGAAGGCGGGAAGAAGGGAAGGCGGGAAGAAGGGAAGAAGGGAAGGCGGGAATCGGGAAGAAGGGAAGGCGGGAAGAAGGGAAGGCGGGAAGGAGGGAAGGCGGGAAGGAGGGTGTGAGGAGACTTGAGTTTCAGACACGGCAATGGATGTGGAGGGGGGTAACGAGGGGAGCAGCAGCTGTTAATGACGTCCGCAACTTCCTGAGAGAGCTCCATTGCGCCAGAGATTCAGAGATGATTGACCGTCGCGGTAAGATTGGTTTTTGTTGTTGTTGTTGTTGTTGCGGGGGGGGGGGGAAAGACGAACCACGAACGTGTGAAGCTGCGGCCAAGGAATTAGGGGGTTGGTATCTTGTGTGTTTTTGAAGCTCACGCAGACCCCCATTCTCCACCTGCACCCCACCCCGGGGCCCCCCTGCACACCCCCTGCACACACACCCTACACCCCACCCCGTCCCCCACCCTGCCCCCCACCTGCACACACCCCCTGCCCCCCACCTGCAACAGCGCATAAGCCGCCTCCACGGGGGGCGGCAAGCCCTGCTCCGCCGCCATCTGGTTCGCTCGCCGCTGCGCCGCCTCCGCCTCCCCCATGTTGCCCTCGCCAGCAAACACCTTGACCAGGCAGCTCAGAGCCCACAAGTCCACCGAGGACGACCGGCTGCTGGACAGCTGCTGGAACACCTCCAACGCCTACACAGCGCCGCAAAATAGGGGGCGGGGGGCGGGGGCGGGGGGGGAGGTGGAGAGAAAGCGGGGGGGCCGACAGGGGAAAGGGACACGCCCTGTGTTTTTTTGTACCTTTTTAACTGGCCCGCATGCATGCCGCGTGTTATTGAGCTCTGAACCGGTGTAATAAGCTCAGTTCGACTTGAGTTTTTTTGGTGATGGTGATGGTTTTGGTGATGGTGATATACATACGTGCGCACACCGCGGTGGCCGTGCAGAAGGGAGGACCCACCCTCACTACACCCACCCCACATTCTTCCCAGGATAGCGACCCCATAATACCTTCGCCTGGTGGCCCTGCGTCCGAAAAAGCTTCATAAGACTCGTAAAGATGGCCCCGTCGGGCTGTACACCGTCCACACGCATCGCCGACAACACCTCCAACGCGCTACTGACGCTGCCGCTGCGTACGGCAGCGTCAATCAGCGTGCCGTACGTAACAGCATCAGGGCGCAATCCGGAGGCCCGCATCTCCACCAAAAGTGCTTCGACGAAACCACGGTCGCTACCACTGTTGCTGCTACTACTGCTGCTGCTGCCGCGGTAGCTTCCAGCGGTGGCGGCGGCGGCGGCCCCGTCGCCATCGGCTGTAGCCGCCGAAGTCGTCGGCTGTTGCGAAGGCGACGACGAACGTATCCCGGAGCCGTAACTCCGGCCTCTAATGAGCATATTGTAGTGTACGACACTAGGACGTAGACCGTCCGCTCGCATCTTGGCTAACAAACGCTCTGCCCTGTTCCAGTCCTGCGGGGGGGGGGGGAAGGGGAACCACACACGATTGAAAAGGGAGAAAAGTTGGTTTTCTTTTTTACTTAGAAGTCACACATGCGTACACGACGCCAGTATTTGTCCCCAGTGCTGCCGCCTTCTGGTGGTTATCATTGGTTCTCTTTTAGGAAGTTTGTAGAACTGCAACAATCTTCAAACAAAACTTTCCAAAAAAAACGCCACATTGACAAATGTTTCCCTGCCGGGCGCTAAACCATCTTGACTTCGAGCACGGAGGGTGTTGAGTGTGTGTATGTATGTGCACGTGTGTATGTGTGTGTGTGCGCGCGCGTGTGTGTGTGTGTAATACGTGGTTGGGGTTGCGTGACCCCATGCCTGTAGAACTCTACCCATACGAGCCAAGGGCCCAAGGCCAAGACCAAGGGTATGTGCAGTATGCGGATATGTCGCACGGCGGACGCAGGCACTTGGTGTCGTTTTTGAGCCACAGATCCTTTCGAAGCGCCGCCGTGCCGTTAGTTGCCTGATTTGGCGCCCGTGCGAAACCGTAGCCGCGACTTAAGTATCCTCAGCCAGGTGCTTTAAGAGCGCGCCTTCAGAACGAGGAAGATTACCTCCCAAAACTGCGTCAATTTCGGTTGCTTGCTAGAAACAGACACAGACAACTGCTACATGAGAGAACTCGCCAACCGACAACTGCCAAACGAACAAAACACACCGCATTTCAGTTAAATCCGCTAAATCTTTCTTACCATTCTTGTTATTGCATGAACTCCTTAAATGTAAAAGAGGACATTGTTTTTGTTTCTCATTATGTGTATCGCGATGTGAACCCCGCGGTGCTGGCCTTGAAATGAAATCGGCCAGCTCCGTTCGATACGGCATCGCGATTGGCTATTAGTTGCCTAATTTGGCACCCGTGCGAAACCATGGCCGCGATTTGAACACACGACCAGGTGCTTTAGAGCGCGAACATCCAACCAAAAATCATCCTTAAAAAAGTTAAGTTGATTTTGCTAATTAGTGCGGATGACGGTGCAAATGCCGGACACACTCCGCGCCCCGCCGCCGATGCCGTTATAATACTCACGCTCAGCCGCGAACAGCCATCCAGTACGGCGCCGTACACCACGGGATTCGGCGGCAGTCCCTCCGCCGCCATCTCCCCCAGCAAGGCCTCCGCCTCCTCGAGCCGCCCCGCCGCCGCCAGCCCAGATGCATAAGAGCTGTACGTGTACGCATCGGGTGCCGTACCTTCCCGACGGGCCTTATCCAGTACGGCACGTGCCATGGTGACATCTCCCAGCCGTACAAAACCGTCCAGCAGGATGTTGTACGCCGAGATTTCTGATTAATAATCCACCACGAAGGAAAGGAAAAAGGAGAGAAATGGGACAAAGCGCCGGGAGGTATGTATATATGTTTTTATATGTGAAAATGTGTATGTGAGAGTGTGTTTGTGCTTAGGAAATTCAAGCAGATTTTCAGCATACATATATAAACCCTAAGATTCAAATCCAGAGGACTGGATCCGACCCAGGTCCCAAGGGTGAAGAAATAGCCAGCACGTGCTGCACCGACATACACACACACCAGGACCTCCATCTCCCAGATGAGTTCCACAGACCAACCCATGGGTCACACCAACCCGAACCCAGATCCAGATTCAAATCCAGATCCCGACCCACATCACATTCCCCTCCTCCTCCTCAACACCCACCTTTACCTCCCTAATCCCCAAAGCCCGTCTCTCTCCCCCCTCTCCCCAACCCCTCCGAAACCAAACCCTCCACCCTCCACCCGCCGCCCGATCTGACATATGCGGTGGATGATCGTCCAGATGGACAGCAGAAGGTAGCGAGGGGATGGGGTGAATGCGGAGAAATACGAGAGCGAGCGCAGAAAGGGTCTACCAACTAACTAAATGGCAATGGCTAAGAAAGCGAAAGCGAAAGAGGTCCACAACCAGGTCATCATTTCACTTCCCGGAACGCAAGGCCCAGAAGAAGCCCCGAAACCAAACCCTAAAACACCCCCACCTAGAGGCCGATCGCCGCCTCGGTACGCTCGTAGCTGCGTGAACAGCCGTCTGGCCGCGTCCATCTCCCCCCGCCTCGCATGGTACTTCATGAGGATGTGGTAGGAGCCCCAGCCGGGTCGGTGACCCGCGGCCCGCATGGCGTCCATCAGCTGCCGCGCCTCCGACAGCTTGCCCAGCTCGACGCAAAGGTTCATTCCTGAATACACACAAACATACACACGCACGCATACACATACACACGCACACCGCGTAAGCAACCAGACAGGCAGGTAACCAAGTGGTAAGGGCAGGTAAGAAACAGACAGACAGACAGATGGTCGTCGGATGTCTTGTTGAGGAGTGCGATACGGTGAAGTGCGCCCCGACCGACCCACGACCGCGGTTCGGTCACCTCCGATCCCCCTTCAACAACAACAACAACAGCAGCAGCATGAGGCAACCTGATGACGGTGATGACACACGCACAGCAGGCGGAAGAGAGACGGAGAGAAGCACTAGTAACAGCGCCACTTGTAGCAGCAGCACTTGTAGCACCACCACCACCAGCACCACCAGCAGCACTAGTAGCGCCACCACTAGTAGCAGCACCAGCAGGCGAAAAAGAGAGAGCCGCAACCTAACCCACCAGTTCTGTAGGCTGGCGCGTCCAGTTTGTAGCCCGACGCTCGCAGCTTCTGCCACAGCGCATACGCCGCCTGACGGCACGGCGTACCTCGCCCGGGGTGCTTCAGCAGCCGGCTGATAAGGCTGCAGTACACGGGGAGCGGCGGCGGGCCGTACAGCTCCTCCTCATGCGACACGAGCTCCACGACATCCATACCCTGCCTGGCCTGCTTGAACGGGGGGACCGGGGGGAAAAGGTGGGAGGGAGGGAGGGAGGGGATCAGTGTGTGTGTGTGTGTGGAGGGGGGAGCAGGGACGGGAAGGTCATGGAAGGCGCCGTAGAGTAAGATGCCAAAAGCAAAAGAACACAACCACACTAGCAGTGAGGACGGAGGAGGAAAGCCCATGTACGGCATGTACATGTACGGAAACATCAGGTGGACGAGCACGGTGACAGTCCTTTGCACGTGTGCGATCCCTGCACCACGTCGGAACTGGCGTTCGTGTCGGAGTGACCGGGGACGGGGGTTTGGACCAGGGACGGGGGTCGGGGGTGACTTAGGGACCCAGGGGGAAGAGCGGGGTGAGGCACGGGCGCGTTCAGGGGAGCGCGGGGACTCGGGGATTTGAGCGAGGTCGTGTGTGGATCTGTACATGTGTGTGTGTGTGCGCGCGCGCATATGCAGTTGGGGTTTAAATTTCCATGTCGGTGGACATGTTGATGTTTGGGCGGGAAGGAAGACTTGCGGGGTGCTGGGAAGAAAGGCCATTCCGACGCGGTGGGACGTGTGCATGATGCGCTCTCGAGGGGGTTGTCGATGGGGTTAAGTAGAACCGCTGTCGTCGAAGGAGTAGCAAGTTGGAAGAAGCTGTGTGAAGGTGAGCGCTTACCTCTATAGCCGCGGCTACGAGCACGCGATAGGTGTCCGCGCGTATGCGAACGCCTGCCGCACGGAAATCGCTGTAAGCCTGCCTGATGTCGCTCCACCGCTCGCCAAATGCGGACAGCGCTGCAGAGCGAGGATTTCAAGGACGCCATGCAAGGTGAATTACAGCAACCACGTGGCAAACTTTTGAGGCAAAGAATGGCTTGGTCAAAGTCGAGCAAGCCGAACCGTATGATGCGCGACTTGGTGACCGGTGACGAGGAAATTGGGTGTTGTTATGTGCAAATAGGAAGTGTGCGACGGGATTGTAGGCAAAAATGGTCCGGCGGCCGAACGTCCACAACCGAAAGACTACCACACCCGCTATCACAAACTCATCCACAAATTGGGTATTCTTACCTTTGATTGCTTCGCTGCATTGCTCTGCAGATACATCGTCTCCTGATCCAGTATTCAGCCTGGCCCGAAGTGCTCGAACATCATCTTGTGCCGCCAATAGAGACTTAGGCCGGCGAGCATCCATCCCAGGGCTGACAGCTTGTACATTATCAAGCTTCACGGTCTGGCTGGACGTGGCTTCGGCTATACACGCCGACCGCAGAGGATTGCTGCGAACGCCACGCTCGCAACTCGCACCCCGCGGTATATATGCACTCAGGATCAATGAAGTAACGCAATCAGAGCTACGCCCACGAATTGTAAGCGAGCATGCGGCCCCATGGTTGGAAAGATGGACAGCTGAGCACACTGTGCGGACCGCACCCCGATACCCCAAGGGAGATGGAGTCATACTTTTTCACAACATAATTGACTGATATCCAAGCAATAGAAGGTCGACCGCGTGGTATGGCCCAGCAGCTGTGGGTAGTGTTGAGGCGTGGTTAGTTGTGGGCCACAATCGTAAGAATCTGGTTCATTCCATACGTCTTTAGCAGCCCTACTTTGGCTAGCACACAACCTCCTATCAGCAAAGCCTATCACCAACTTTGTGAGGCGAATGGCAATTTCGTTGCAAACCCGTTGAAAGCCGTACTTTAATGCCTTTCGTTGACTACATGATTGCGAGTACATCGAAAGTGCATAATTAAAATCCAGGTACTATGATGAATCAATGCCTACTGCTCTAGATTTTCTTTGTATAGGAGATCATATGTCGTTTAGAATCGCACCGTTGGTAAGCTGGGCGCCACTCTTCGAATAGTGTTTTTTATATTATAAATGAAGCAATCATTATACTTATGTTAAGCGTGAGGAGCTCAGTCAAAGGACTTCGGTCGTGGCGTCGAATTATTTGCCATGAGCGGCGGCAAGAAGACAAGGTGAGGATTGCATGATTATGTAGAAATGGATTCTAATCTTAATTGAAAATTGTTTAGGGGCCAGGTTGTGACATTCCTCAAAGATGCAAGTGGTCCCATGGCTAGGCCTGCGTCCTTTTCCTAGTTTATGCGGAAACCTATCCCGTGCATGGCGATGCAAATAGTCAGGTAAAAGCTGCCTTACATTTATGCCAGCATTGGTGATATCAAGGACTCTCCCGAATACCCATCTGTGGAATGGTCCCCCTGAAAATTATGCGCCTCCGCTCCTTAAACGAATCACTTAAGCACTTTTGGTGCTGTATTGCTATCACCCGCACCCTTACCATCTGCCACACCCGTCTGCCAGCTGCGTCCTCCTTTGAAGGCCGTGCACCTTTCCTAGCTCCTTCCCCCATGAGGCGCGACACAACATCCCCCCCTTTTCAAACTCTCACTTCACCACCTTAAACCCTCCCGCCATGTGTTCCCTCAACCTTTTCTTGTGTTTTACTGCCACCCCCCTACCCCCGTGTCTCCCCAATCCTCGCAGACCCCCCCACCCCCCCTTTCATCAATACCACACCACCACGCTCCTCTTCCGCTCCTCCGCACAACTCCTCCCCTCCAAAACCCCCTCCTTAAACCCCCCTACCCCTAAACCCCCCTCCTAAACCCCCTACTCCTAAACCCCCCTCCAAAACCCCCTACCCCTAAACCCCCCTCCTAAACCCCCTCCTAAACCCCTAAACCCCGCTCAGGGAGTACCGCGATGTCCTGGTGGTGAATCTGTGCTCTTGCAAATACCGCCTGATGCGGGAGGCGGCGGTGGTGGTGGGATATGAGGTGGTGGAGGAGGAGGTACGGCGGCTGGAGAACCAGGGGGAGCCAGGGGGGGGAGAAGGCAGGAGGAAGGGAGACGGGGGCCGCCTGAGCCTAGCCTGAGGGGAAGGAAGGGAACGTAAAGGCCGGGGTTTTAGGGGGGAGGGGTTTTAGGGGGGAGGGGTAAGGTCGGGACGGGACGGGGACGGAAGAGGACCGTGCCCCACCCCCTTCGCTCCTTCCTTGGGCCTTGTGCCCAGCGCCCTGTGCATTGGCGGTGTGGCGGCGGCCGCGGTCGTGGGGGGGAAGAGGGGGGAAGCGAGGGGGGAAAGGAAAACAGAAAACTGTTAAAAGATAACAAGATAACGGATGACCCCCCCCCGGGCGGTGTTGTGACACAAATCGATGACGACGGCCCTTAGACGAGCGAGTCGTACCATTTTTGTGTTACGTCTTACTGTGATTGAACGAAGAGGAGAGGGGGCTTGGTTATAGGGAGGGTTTCTGAGCCGGCCAGAAACTTTCCGATGGTATGGGATCGGTTACCTATCTATCTATCTATCTATTTAAAATAATTGTGGAGTTCTATCTGCTGCCGCTGCTTCCTCATCGCAGTCGGAGATGTGGGATCTCTTTTGGAGCGATCTGTCGGTGAGATCCCCGGCGGCTGGCGGGGGGGTAGGGGGTAGGGGGGGAAAGGGGTTTTGAGGTGATTGACTCGTTGCGTAGCTCTTGAGGTGACATACATACATACATACATACATACATACATACATATACACGCTGTAGGTTTCCTCGGATCGAGTTCAGCGACTTCTTCCCTTCCAGCGCCTCAACCATTTTCCCGGCATGATGGAGATCTGTCGCAAGGCCGCGCTCTCCCGCCACCTCGCCCGGATGGCGACGAAACTGCCCTCCGAGTACCGCTTCTACCCCACCAGCCTCGTGCTGCCAGACCAACTAGACGAGCTCATGACGGCGCTCAAGAGGAATAAAGCAAGGGCGGACGCGGCTGAGACAGCAGTCGCGGCGGCGGCGGCGGCGGCAGCCGCCGCCG